CACAAAGTCCAAAGCCTAAGCATGCCTTCTGTAAGTACTCCTGTCTTTGGTTTCTAGTGGTTGCCTCTACAAACAGTGCAAATGTGATCAGTGAATTACATCCATATATTTCAGTCACCATTTCCTTAATGCTGGATGAAATACAAGAAAGACTTCTGTATTCTGCAGTCAGTTCTCTCGATAGCATCTGAAATAGCTGCCTGTTCACCCACAAAGTTATCTACAAATTATAGAACTCTCACCTTGCTCCCAAAGCCTTACAAGATTGAATTATTTGTAGGAATGCAGAGAAAATAACCTTTTCATCCTGCAGCTCTATGAGTGTAGGTGTACTAACACGCTAAAGAGCAAACTAAAAGTCAACAGTGACACATGCAAAAAGCCACAATTTGGAAAACAAAACGCAATGCCCAGTGCAAGCTAGCTTCATCACAAAAGGCTTTATCAGCTTGTGCATGCTCTCAGCTTGAAGCCAGAAGAACAACAGATAAAGATCTTACAAATACCTATTTGACCTTTATCAAAGTATGACGTTCTACAGTAACCTACGTCCTTACTGAGTTTAGGATGATGGCAAAAAGAGAAGCCAAAGAAACTCAGCCTGAGGAACTGTACTTCTTCCCACGCATTAGAAACAAGTGTTTTATTTTCTGAGGGGACCCAAAGGAAACTTTCTGGCTCTCTTCAGAGTATTCAGCTGTTGAGCAACACTTATCCACCACTCTCACACTTGAGGCTTTTACGAATGAGCAATGCTGGGTTGTTGATGGGTCACGACTTTGTAAGGCCGAGTATTTGCAGTATCTGGGGCTCTGAGGGCAACCAGAAGGAAACCACATGACTGCAACACAAAGCTCTACAAAGGCAAGTGGAGGGCCCTGGGGGAGAAACCGGCTGTTTATTTTTAGCAAAACAACTATTTCAAGTGCACTAAGGGAACACACAGTACATATAGGAAATAATGCACACAAATGTTCAATCAGGAAAGTGGAATTATGAGGTCTTAACGCTGGAGTGAACCCCCATTCTCAAGTTAGTAGTGCAAAGCTGGAACTTTGAAGAAAACAATTTAAGTATCCTTGAAAAAAAGTATATATTTTTTCTCCCTCCACAATTACATCAACAGGAATTGAATTACTAACTCAGGCCAAAGAAGTGGTCACCAGTCATAAACCTTTTCCCACATGAGAGGATGGCAGTTCAGCCACAAAGAAGGTAACGTGTGCCCAAGGAGCATAAAAATTTCCTTTCTTTTTCTCTGATGCTTTCTTAAGAGGAATGGATTTGTGTCAGAGAGCCCAGAAGAGATATGAAATGAAGCAGCCTTCCAGTATCTGAAGGGGTGCTACAGGAAAGCTGGGGAGGAACATTTTATAGGGGCAGGTAGCAACAGAACAAGGGGAAATGGCTTTAAACTGGAAGAGAGCAGATATTAGGAATAAATTCTTTACTGCGAGGGTGGTGAGACACTGGAACAGGTTGTCCAGTGAGGCTGTGGATGCTCCCCTCCCAGAGGCATTCAGGGCCAGGCTGGATGGGGCTGAGCAACCTGGTCTGGTGGGTGTCCCTGCCTACAGCAGGGGATTGGAACTAGGTGATTTTAAAGGTCCCTTCCATCCCAAACTATTCTACAAAGCAGTGCTACTGTGGGAGCTTTTTTTTTTTTTTTTTTCTTTTTTCCCTAAAGTCAGAAGTGACACCTTGGTCACCCAGGCCATCTGTCAGAGAAACACAGGAAAAGGCTTTTTAACTCTCATCAAAGGGATTGTTGTAAATCACTTACATACTGGTCAGATGTTGAAACTTTGATGCCATATTTGGAAACGCCCATTATAAACTCCTCTTCACCTGGAACAAAAGGTAACTTTCCATCTTGCTTTGGAGGGAAACAAACAAAAGCCTTTAGTGCAGACAGAATAATATTAACAATGAAGATACAAAGTAGAAAGCGTTTCTATTTGTACTTCACTAGCTTAACAACATCACTGTCCCTGCTCCTGTGGTACTGTGAGAAGCCTGATATTCTTGCATTGTCCTATCTCTTTGTTCTCTGAAACACAACATGAATCCAGAAAGGCATTTATAATCTTGGGTAGGTGAGGGAAGCTGGGGCTATCACACTGCTCTGACTTCAGCTGATTTACATTCCACACCAGCAGCAACAGCTTTGTATTTGGCTGTAAAAATAATTTCAGCATGTTCAAATACTTGAAGCATCCAGACGCTGTAAGATAAACAGATTCTGTGCTTTAAAGGTACAGTTAACCTGCCTACCCAGAACAACCAGTTAGAGCTCTTAGAACAGAAATAAATATAAGAAAACACTTTGGCAAGGATGACCCAAATATTACCCTGTTTCTTTGGTCACAGGTTCATAAGTGAATGTAAGCAGAAAATGACAATTTTCCTCCACAGAAGAACTTGTTCTACAGTACTAAGTAAATCCAGAGGAGATACTCTTTGACAGGTACTAATCCTAGCAGTGCTGCAGATGAGGTGGCAGCTGCCAGGTGAGACGTTCATTGCATAATGACTCACAAAAGGTCTGAGCCTGCTTCTTCAGGACTGCTTTTCAGGAGCATCTTCTCCAGTTACTCGACAGCAGGGAACAAGTATGACTGGTGTACTTCATTTTATTTTTAATTAAGCTACTTTATTCTAGTAAGTCTAAAATGTATAGCAAAAGGTCAGATCAGGTAAGAACATGAAAGAAATACACCTAAGCTCAGGATATTCTAGCACTGTATTCTTTTGTAACACACTTACCTGGGCAACATCTATGTAATTTATCAAGTCCAATGGCCCTTCTAGATTTTTGCTCTCATTATGTTTCAGTTTTTCAATGGCGCCAACATACTTAACTCTGAATTCTGCACATGTATCAGAATTACTATTGCTCTGTCCTGCAACAAAATAAAACAAAGCAACCCTGAATAGCTCAAGAGCATTCATTCTAATTAATAAGTTAGCTCCACTGGCATAATCAAGAAACACAGGAAGCACAAGAAAGCTGACTCTACTTTTCTACAAACATTCTTTAAAGAACTGTTTGTCTTAATAGCGATGCACTGTGATCTGGTAAGCAGGGAGTAAAAGCTAACCTCATTACACTAATCTCAGTGCATATGTCAATTTAGAGAAGTATGAAACACAGTATCCAGAACATTACATCAGATTTGTGCTGTGTAACAGACTGGTAACGAGCTAACTGAATTTTCCTTACTCAGATATCTTGCCTTAAAAGCAATGGTTTTGCACTAGATACCACAGAAGCCAGGAGCTGGTCAGCAGTCTAACAGTTCACTCAATTATGAAAAATAGGTATTTTAATATTTAATTTTCTATTTTTACATAAACATATATAATGTTAATTCTACTCCATACTTATCTACTCAAACTCCAATTACATACCTGAGCTTTTTGTGGAGTCTGTATCAAGACTTGCCACAGTACTGGACCTGGAAAGTCCCCCAAGACTGGAATCTACAGACTAAGAAGAAAATTAACGTCATCAGAAAGTTACCACAAATATATTGGCAGTTCACTTTCAGCTGCCCTGCCTCAACTTCTTAAAATAAATTAATATGCAATTCAGTTATTTAAGCTGCACTGCAAAATGGGAGGGGAAAAAAAAACCCACCAACAAAACACAACCCAAAAACCCTAAGCTTTTCCTGAAGCTAGCTTTGTGCCTCACTATAAGCTAGACTGATATAACTCAGCAGTCCATAAACATTCCAAAAGTTGGAAATAAAAAAGAGAAAATGAACTTTAAGGTTATGTCCAGACTTTTCTGGTACTGCATCTTAACTTGAAGAAACTGACAACTACATCCTTGTCACCAGTGCTTGCAATAACACAGCAGTGCAAGGGAAGTGAAACCGCACCTTGGGAAATCCAGAATATGCAACCGATCATTCCAAACCCATCAGAAAAATGGACGCACTGAAACACTGAGAAACCAACTGATGCTGAAGAACAAATTCTTGGCACCCATCACCAGGCACCCTGAAGGGTGATGTTTATCACATAGAACAAATGAGCTGCTCCTCTCCCAGTCCCCACAACCTGCTGCCAGGATCTGTGTCTGTAGGAGCAATCAAGCAGCCTTCTCAGGATACCATAACCTTACCACGTACTCATTTTCCTACATCTCCCAGCACGGTCTGATGAGTAGTTGAAGCAGGAAGCTCTCCTTACCCAGCACAGCATTATATAGAGATCACAGCCTAAGGTCAGCCCAAGTGACCTTACTCACTTGAACTGCCTGCTCCAAACAGATGGATACCTCCCTGGAGCTGTTCAAGGCCAGACTGGATGGGGCCCTGGGCAGCCTGGTCTAGCATTAAATGGGGAGGTTGGAGGCCCTGCATGTGGCAGGGGGGTTGGAGATTCATGATCCTTGAGGTCCCTTCCAACCCTGGCCATTCTGTGAACTGTGAATGTAGCTCCATAAGAGCGCATCCCAAAGCAGCTCACCTTGCTTTTCGTACTGATCTCGCTGCTTTGTGAGCTGCTGCTGCTGTGTCGCTTTTTTCCTTTTCTAAACATGTTTTCATCGTGGGCTGAAGGAAGGCGCTCTAGGCAGGACAGACAGGCATGAAGCTCTCACCCCAAGGAAAGAAGCTCCGTGCAAAGATCGGACTGCGCACAAGAGGCAGGAAGCGGCAGCGCAGAGACCGAGCCGGCGGCGGGAGCAGCTCCTCGGAGCGCGGCTCAAACCTCCTGCACCGGAGGAGCCTCGCGGGCGACAGGAAGAGGCCGCAGGAAGAGCCCTGCAGGCCGCAGCCAGCCGAGCGTTGGGCGGCAGCGCTGCGTGCGGCACCGCGCTCCCCGGCGGCCCCCGCTCCGCGCCGCCCCCCGCTCCCCGTCCACCACCCCCAGGCCGCACCGGGGCTCCGAAGCCGCCCAGCGCCGCTCCCGCCGCCCGCTCGCTCACCACCTCCGCCGCCGTGTCCCGCCCCGCCCTAGCGGTGCCTGCGCGCTGCGGCGCTCCCCGCCCAGCGGAAGCGGGGCCGGGAGGAGGGACGGCAGCCATGGCGAAACGGAAAGCCGAGGCCTCGATCCCGGCGGAGGAAAGCGACCAGCTGCTCATCCGGCCCCTGTGAGAGCGGCGGGGCCATGCTCGGCTCCGCTTTATGCCGCCGGGGGGACGGGGCCGGGAGGCGGAGGGCCGGCCGGCCGTTCGGAGCGCTCCGTCGCGGTGAGGGAGCGCCGCTTCGGCTCGGGCGGCCCTCAGGAGCGGCTCGAAAGGAACCTCGCGACCCCTGCCCGCCTGGTGCTTCGGGAGTCAGGGGTGCGGGCACGCATTGCAACCGACGGCACCGCGGCCGTCTTCCAAAATCCGGGATCTTTTATTCTGGCGGCATTAATTGCATCCCGTTTCCGTTGTGATAGACGTAGTCGTTCAGTTACTTTAAGTATCTGGGCTTAAACGGAGCTGGGCTCGTTCAGCCTGCAGAAAAAGGCTGGGAGGGGAAACCTCACTGCGGCCTTCTAGTGCTTAAAGGGAGACTGTAAACAGTAAACGGGAGGGAAGTCTACCCTTTTACATGGGTAGGCAGTGAGAGGACAAGGAGCAATGATTTTGAACTAAAGGAGGAGTGAAGTAGGTTAGGTGTCAGGGGAAGCTTTTCACAGAGGGAGCGGTGAGGCCCTGGCACAGCTGCCCAGAGAGCTGTGGGTGCCCCATCCCTGGGGGGGTTCAAGGCTGGGCTGGCTGTGCACTGGCAGACTGAGCTGCTGCCTGACCTGGCAGTTGGCAACCTGCTTACAGCATGGGGCTGGAACTACATGATCCTTGAAGTCCCTTCTGTGATTCTGTACTTCGCAGTCACTGTTTCTGCACAGAAAACTAATTCCGTGAGAAGCATCTGACATACATCTATGAGGCGTGCGTTCTTTTCGTGACTCTGGTATCTTTTTGCAGAGGAGCTGGCCAAGAAGTAGGAAGATCGTGCATTATTCTGGAGTTCAAAGGAAGGAAAATAATGGTAATTACTTCACAAGTGTATTTGTGTGCCCTCCCATCAGCCTGATCTACTGCCTGACTTGGTTGGCCATCCCTGCCTGTGACAGGAGGTTGGAACTGAATGACCCGTGAGATCCCATCCAACCTAAGCCATTCTGCGATCCGTTGCAGTACTGTAGAACACAAAAAGATGCTATGGGTTAAATCCAGTTCCTCCCTGAAGTCAGCTGTTGCTAGCAGAAGCACGTTTTTTGGCTTTTTAAAACAATACAGGGTAGGCTTTTACAAGGTGTGTGCTGTAAAATAAATAAATCTGTAAAATAAATCTATTCCCAAATAGAAGGCATATGTCTGTGTGCAGACTGTGAAATCTCTGTGTCAGGCTTCAGTGGTGCCTAAGGTTTGCTTGTATGTCCTATTGTGTATAAACTGTCATGTGTAAACACGCACATGTTCTTCTCCCCTTTTTCAGTTGTCTTCACGGAGGGTAGCAAAAATATCTTCCGTATAGCATTCTATGTATTCAGGTAGCGTGGAAATGTAAATGAAAGCTTGGATTGACACAGTATTACATACAGGGAATGGGGTCTTTTGAAAGGCATTCACTCTCCCAGTGGAGATAAAACCATCTAGGCAGACACTCAGCTATGAAATCCAATGCTAAAAGAAGTTGTTGAGGAAAAAGTACCTTTTTTGTGTGATCCTAAAGGCTACTAGTTGCTCATAATTAAATTTTAGAATGGAGGAGTCCTTATACATTCTTTTAGAGCAGGGGGGTGGGCCTGGTGACCTTCAGAGGTCCCTCCCAACCTCAACCATTCCATGATTCTGTGATGCTCTAATTTTTCTTTATTTGTTTGTTTTTTCAGCTTGATTGCGGCATCCATCCTGGACTGGAAGGAATGGATGCTCTTCCTTACATTGACTTGATAGACCCTGCTGAGATTGACCTCCTTCTGATTAGCCAGTAAGTTGCACCTGCAAGTACAAAACGCACCAAGGTCGTGGTGTGAACACATACATAGGTTGTGAGAGGCTGAAAATAGGTGTTACAGAGCTGGCAAAACTTTTGTGTCAAGCTGTTTAAAAATGAAGGCTGTTCATTCAGTCACTTTTGACCATTGTGACAGATTCTAGAATGTATTTCCTACAAGGAGACTGCTCTACTGGCTTGGAATGAAAGAGATTCTCAGAGATTTACACCAGCTCTGAATCTGCTTAGTAACAGAGAGATAAAAGAGATCCAATTGTGCATAACCTGTTACAGCTGTCTATAAAATCCTGGGGTTTGATGGTAGGTGTTTGTTCTGCCTGTATTTCAAAAGCAATTCTTTGGAATTCAACTTAGAAATGCAGCCAAATAGTTTTATTTCAGTAGCTCATGTTGTAATTCCTGGTTTCCTACATGCAAACTTAGGAACACTTCTGTCAGCTTTCTTCCATCTCAGACATTCCTTATGTTCCTGATTCCTGTTGTTTTTTCCTTGTCAGAAGTTAGTTCTGAGATTGTGTGGGTGAAGTCTTTGCAATTAATGGAGAATTTCTTGTACTGCTCTTACCTTTCCCAGTTGATGAGCAGTCACTAGTGTACAGGATATAGACCACCATAGTTAACAGTGAGGTTAAAAGTTCTGCTTCTGCATTTTCAGGACGTTACATCAGACCAGTAAAGAACTGTATGACGTGGTGTTGTGTCATGTTAGCGTTTGAGTGAGATCTGCGTGTCTCTTTTAAGTTTCCATTTAGATCACTGTGGAGCTTTGCCATGGTTTTTGCAGAAGACAAGTTTTAAAGGAAGGACGTTTATGACTCATGCCACAAAAGCTATTTACAGATGGCTTCTTTCAGACTATGTCAAAGTCAGGTAAGCTGCCCTGTTGGGTTTCTCTTTAACTACTTACTTATTTTCGCTGTGCACCCGATGGGAAGTTGTAAGATGAAGCTGCCACAGATGGCAAACCTGGGCGTCACCACAGGTAGCAAGACTGGAACAAAATTAGAAGCAATGCACCATCTTACTGCCTCGTGGATACTGAGTCTCTAAGATCATTTCCTGTCAATCAGCACAAAGTCTTACCTTGTTTCCTCTTATCCTTTTCATTTGCCATATTTGGACTATTTTTTTAATCTATTTTTTAATCTATTTTTTAATCTATTAGCATCTCATCTCCTCTGCCCCCAGGCTCACGCTCTTAACTCACTCTTTCACTCTTATGTGTTTTTATGTCAGTGTTTTTTCTTAAGCTTTACAGAAGTAGGGAATTTTAAGGCCCTAAAGATACAGCCTGCTCTTCAGGACAAGATAAATAAGTTTAATAATACGTCTAGGCAAGGCTATTGATAGTGCTGTTATTTGTGTGTTGATTGTTCTCTGTTTTTTCTTTTTTCTCTCCATTAACATGCCTTGAGCACATTTTTTCTGTGTGAATGCAGAGGTCCTGAGTGCGTGTCAACTCAGCAGATTGGAGATTGGATCAGAAGCCTGCAGGCAGTCTTCTTTTAACCTGTCTGTTCTGGGCCAGGGGGAAAAGTGGTTTGTTTTGGTGTTTGATGACCTAGCTTAGTGTGGAACCTCTGGCAAAGGCTGGGAGCCTGTTAGTACTGTTAGATGGATCCAGAGCAGATCCTGAACTGCAGCAATTATTCTAACGTGCACAGAGTTAACATGTCTTTCTTTTGAAAAGGCATCTTAGCTCTGCTTGGGTGAACTCCCTGGGCTTGATTTCCCGTGTGGGAACGTGGCATTTCTGAATGAGAGTCTTATTCTGGGAAGAACCCAGGAACTTTTTGCTTCAACTGTTGTATTATCTGAGCCGGTGGGATTAACTCTTACCACTTTCATTATCTGCAGTAATATATCAGCAGATGACATGCTGTATACAGAAACAGACCTGGAAGAAAGCATGGATAAGATTGAAACCATCAACTTTCACGAAGTGAAGGAGGTGGCAGGCATCAAGTTCTGGTGTTACCATGCAGGCCACGTTCTGGGAGCAGCCATGTTCATGATTGAAATAGCTGGTGTGAAGGTATTTCCTTTTTACTACAGAGTTGAAATTGGGCCTGAATTCTCATGTAGTCATTAATTAATATTTATTACTAAGCCCTACTGCTGTGGTTGGAGCTGTCAGGCAGGCTTGGGCACATAGGTAGGAGGCCTTGACATGGAGCATGTATTTTCTCATGGATTAAAACGAGCAGGTGACATCTGTGTGCTGAACCAGGTGATATGTTTGAGCTTTATGGGACTGAGTTAGGACTCAGGCTTGGAATCAGTACATATGTGGTGCTCCTGGCTGGTCCGCTCGGAGGCAGCTGATAGCTGAGGCAGTCTCACTGATGCTGCATTTTAGTAAAAAGCTTGTTTTTCTATTTGCACATCTGCCTGTGGGCTTTTGTCAAAGCATGGGAGCTATATTTTTTTTCCAAAATTCTCATGCTGAAGAACCTAAAGAAATAGAATTGTTGTTAATTTTAGGCACCGAGATTGAATAAATTGTCATATAATCACAGACAGTACTGTGTCAAAGCCAGACATGAAACTAATCTCATAAACTGGAGTTTGGTAGGATAATCTCCACCCAAAAAAGCCTCAAAAGGGGAAGAGAGGCCCTGAGGCTTGCTGTCTAGCAGGACTTTGTCTGTGGTTTGTAATGATAGAGAATTCCAGACTTAATAAGATTTAGAAAGCATAGAAATAGTTGTATTTAGAATGATTGCAATAAGATTTAGACATCTTGCTGCTTTTTGTTTTCTTGATTAGGGTGAGACAGAGATTTCCCCCCAAGTACTCATTGCTCCAGTGGTTTGGGGTTTTTTTAGCACACTTTTTTTTATTTGCTTCCCTGTGAATCATAGAATCAGAAGGTTGCAAACGACCTGTAAGATCATCTAGTCCAACCGTCTTCTCATTACCACTGCTACCACAAGCACTAAACCAGATCTCCCAGCTCGAAGCAAATGAGGAATGTGACAGGTGACCTGTAGGCCAGTTACCAGCTACTGCTGGCTGTGCTTTGTTACTATTCACATTTTCACCAATGGAAAAATTAAGTAAAAATATTCAGTTCTGAAACAGTCACTGAGGGCACAGTGAACTGCATTCCACCCTGCAGTTAATGCATTAAAAATTCCTAATGGGTGCCAATCACTTCTTGCTGCAATGGGGAACTCAGCCATTCCGTTTGGGAGCTCTGTTGGATTGCAGGCTTTGTTTTTAGCATCAGAAATTCCTAGAAGGAATTCTAAAAGCAGTTTATTCTTCACTGTATTTGCATTCTGCTGTATAAAATGCTGATTTGTCTCCTTTGTATTTCCATCTGGTACCTGCTGTATGTTGTTAGGTCAGTTTGTACTTCTCATGGCCAGTGCAAAATGCTGAAAGCGGCGCCTCTACGTACAGGATGAGGAGCAACAGCAATGCATTTGTTTACCTTGTTCTGTTGTAACTGAGGCACTGCTTGAATTACCTTGCTGTGGTTGAAATGTATGTACTGGTGTGCTACCACTGTGAGCACCATCCACCTCGGAAGAGTCTTTAGCTGAAGTGTAGGAGAGCTTTTTATCATAAACTCCTCACAATCCAATTTGCTAAAACAGACAAACCAACCAGTTTTCCTATACAAAGGCTTTTAAAACTGCTGAGCTGGTAGAACCCGTAACCAGAGTAAGTTCTTCTCTTTGTCTCTCACAGCTTTTGTATACAGGTGATTTCTCAAGACAGGAAGACAGGCATCTGATGGCAGCCGAGATTCCCAACATTAAACCCGATATTCTTATAATTGTAAGTTTTACAAAAGCATTTCTTTAAATCAGTTGTTAAGTGTGCACAGAGATAGTACTTCATTAGAGCTGCAGGGGAATGAGAAGGACAGTGGAGGTCAGTGGCAGTGAGTGATTTGTGGTAGGGATAGGAACACTTGGGTGTTCATACAGTTCTTTTCATTGTACTGAAGTCTTAAAATCTAACTGTCCTTTTGTAATTCTGCTGATGCAGTTCCTTAGGCCTCCAGATGCCTTTTCAGTCCTGGAGATTTATCAGGTGTCAGCTTGTGCTCACTGGATGTATCACATAAACTTCAGTTCAGCCAGATGCCTTGTTTTTTAATAGACCTTAATGTACTTCCAGCTGTATTTGTTGGGTGTTTGTCCTGAGTGGAAGTGTCCTGGGTGCTATTCAGATTTGTTATGTTTTCTTTTCTGAGCAAAATGGTTTTATTCTGAGTCTGTTCAGAAAATCAGAAGTTTGGGGGGAAGCTCCAAGAGCAACAGTTGTATTTTCAAAATGAAAACTGGCATCTTTTAGAGTAATACAGAAAGTGTTGCATTTATTGTGTCCCTTTCAAATGGCTTCTCTCATTGATAGTTACTGCGTTTTAAATAACCTGTTCTTCAGAGAAGTGGAGCATTTTCAGTTAGGAAAAGAACGTAAATCAAAAATCACTTAGAAGAAAAATCATCATTTATAGCTTTCTCTGTCTCTTTTTAATTTTTCTCCCTGGTGGGATCTCTCTACAAATGACAAGGAAGTGTCTGGGGGAGGGGAAGTTGTCATTATTTACCGTGGTGGAGGAGGTGGCATTGGGAATTTGGAGCAGGGCGTTGATTCCAGGGTTGATATATTCATTCTTTCTGCTCTGCCTCCCCTTTCTCAGCCCCAACATCCTGTCACACTGAAAGCTTCATGCATGCCATGTCAAGGCACGTAAATGGAAGTCCTTAATTGTGAAATGAAAGTTCTGTTTCTGCACTGTAACACCAGTATGCTTTTCTGCGTTTTCTTGTTGGATCACCGAATCACAGAATCACCAAGGTTGGAAAAGACCTTCACGATCATCCAGTCCAACCATCCACCAGTCACCAATAGCTCTCCCTAAACCACGTCCCTCAACACAAAATCCAAACGTTCCTTGACCACCTCCAGGGTTGGTGACTCCACCACCTCCCTGGGCAGCCCGTTGCAATGCCTGCCCACTCTTCAGAGAAGTAGTATTTCCTAACGTAGAGGATGCAGAGGAGGTGGTCAGGAATCAGTCTGTGTGCCAGCACTTGCAATAGCAGCTTTCTCTGTCCATAGGAATCCACCTACGGGACCCATATCCATGAGAAAAGGGAAGAGCGAGAGGCCCGGTTCTGTAACACCGTTCATGACATTGTAAATAGAGGAGGGAGAGGCCTCATTCCTGTGTTTGCCCTGGGTCGGGCACAAGAGCTGCTTTTAATTTTGGGTATGTACCTTCCCAGCTCCTCTGAACAAAAGACATATGAAGTTAAATGGGAGTGCTTTCACATGCGGTCTTTCAGGTGCAGTGACTTTTTTAACAGCTTTTCAGCCATTTTTCAATGTGTTCATTAGCTGACAATGTGTCATATTGTTCAAATGTTAAATTAAAAAAAAAAAAAAAAGAAGTGATCAAACAGCCAAAAAATTATTTTCCAAATGCAGATACAGGACAGGCAGTTTGGCTTTGTGAGCTAGAACAAAGGCATAGACAGGAAAGGGCAATTCCTTATAATCACAAAATCACTGAGCTTGAAAAAGACCACTGAGATCATCCAGTGCAACCACAACCCAGCCCTGCTGTGCCCACTGACCGCGTCCTCAGTGCCACATCTCCACATCCCTTGAGCGCCTCCAGGCTCGGTGACTCCACCACCTCCCTGGGCGGCCATGGTAATATGGCCTTGACTTTTAACTCTTGCTGAACTGGGATTTCAGCAGATTGGAAGCATCACGATAGATGGCAAAGTGAATAATCAGAAAGTGACTGTTGTATTTAAACTGATTTGCTGAAAGAGGTATGTCTTGTTCCAAAATTTCAGCCTTTAATTCACAAACCTGAGTGAACAAAAGCTGAGGAGACCATAACAAACACTTCTAGCATTTGTGAAGTCTTAATCATAATGGGAAAGCAAATTAGTAAGAGCAAAATGAGGGAAGGGGAATTATACATGACTTTATACATGGCCATAACAAGGTATTTCTCATAAAAGATGGAAAAAGTTGTTGTGAGGTGCTGTAGAGAAAACTGTTTTTAAGTAAGCTGTTATCTCCAGGCACATTGAATTTGTACTGTGATGTTTAACTAGTTTTTTTTCTCCTGGGAAGATCAAAAGATAACTATCTCAAAACTAAAAAGTATTTTTGGGAGCATTGGTTCTTAAATGTTAGCTGAAACATTGACGTTTTTTCTTAATTTCCATTTAAGTTCAGATCAGCATAAAAAACTGATATTTGTCTGGTATTTGTTTTCAGGATGTGTTACTGGTCTGTTCGAATTTCCCAAAAAATTGGGATCCAGGCATAGTGATGGTCAGTGCTGTGCAGTGGCATTATTCTTTATGTTGAACCTTTTGGATTTGACAGAGGAGATGAAAACCAAGCACTTGAGATCTCCTGTAGCCACTGATTTGTAATTTGTTCATCTTTCCTTGCTGTGTGCAGATGTTAAAGTGACAGTACAAAGTGAAACATGGAAATATATCTACTCAAGCTCAACATGCAATTGGACGCTTAATTAGGTAGAAAATGTAATTGCATCTCACATGCCTACACAGCTAACCTGCAGGCTTCTGGGTTTGTTGTTCTTCCATTCGTGTCTGTCAAAAAATAAAATACTGCATTGTGATACAGGAAATTCTGCTGCTGGGTGCAGTCTTTTGATATTACAGTAAGTGCTGCCATTGGTTACCTCTTAGTGGCTGTTTCTGCCCTACATTTGGGCTTAGTAAGATATTTGTGGCATTAAGGTCTTCTGATTCAGTCTGATTCAGAGCTTTGCAGATCAAAGCTGCCAGGTTAAAGCTGTGTTGTTCTGAATTTACAAATAGGGCCAAAAGAGCATACTGCTCTTTTTTTGATGATTGTTACCCAGTTGTAATATAAATATATTTTATACAAGCAGAGCTGTATCCAAGTGGGAAATTGAGTGAGTTCCACTTGTGTATCTGCATTCACATCTCTTCTTTGTTTTTAGTAAGGGCCATGACTTCTGCCATCAGCAATAAGGTATGTTGTGGTTAGTGAAGAACTTCATTTTGCTGTTTTTGTTTCAGTTAAGCTTGTAAAACATTGTATAAAATAAGTGTTGGTGATGCTGCAGGAAGTCAGGCTTAGTAACAGGTTTATCCCTTCGCTGCTTCAACTCTGTGGGATTGTTTCATGTTGTTTTTGTGAGTTATCTGATGTGTAGGTTGCTTTGTTTGTTTTAGATGAATACTGGCAAAATCATCCTGAGCTCCACGACATCCCCATTTACTACGCCTCCTCTCTGGCTAAGAAGTGCATGGCTGTTTATCAGACATACGTCAATGCCATGAATGACAAAATCCGCAAGCAAATCAACATCAACAATCCATTTGTTTTCAAGCACATTAGCAATCTGAAGGTAAGGTTGGCTTACAATAGAGGAACAGTGATACAAGAGTTTGTATTTGCCCCATGGTTTGCACGTACACACTGAATCATTGTATCATTCTGCAATTCTGTGCGTGCTACCTGAAGAGACTGGTTGGTTATAGGCTTATGTCTGAGTTATCTGCCCTCCCAGAGGGCTGCTGAGAAGAGCTTGTGCACCTGCCTTTGTCTGTAGATCTGTATGCATATATTTTGCCCCTTAGGAGTGTCAGTAAGACGAACTTTCCTGCAGAAGTTCTTTTTAAGAGGGTGGTGCATGGATGGATGTAGGACTCAATTTATATGTCGTTAAAGGATTGTGGTAACTGAGATTCTTGCTGTTTTCCTCTCAGAGTATGGATCATTTTGATGATATTGGCCCAAGCGTTGTGATGGCTTCCCCAGGTATGATGCAGAGTGGTTTATCCAGAGAGCTGTTTGAGAGCTGGTGCACAGATAAGAGAAATGGAGTAATTATAGCTGGGTACTGTGTTGAAGGAACGCTCGCTAAGGTGAGTTGTTAACGTGCCACAAGTCCTTAAAGTAGTGGTGTTTGGTAGGAGTAGTGTTTGTGTTACGTTTGAAAAGAATTCTCCAGTAGGAAGTGACTTCATTTGTATTTACCAAGAAGACTGTTGTCAACTCTGCATGATTATGTAGGTAAAGTTGAAAGCACTTTGAAGTTAAAGTGCTTTTCTTACTCTTTACACCCCTGGGTCTACAAGGGGTCATAAGCCTAATTTTAGAGAAGTTGGTGTTAAATCCAACACTACATAAATGTCAGAGATCAGACTGCATTTTGCATGCTGTGCCACTGTCTCATTGTAGAGAATGAAATTCTTTTTTAATTCTAGCAGCTGTGGGCAACTAAAGTGTCTAGTTTGGCTTTTAGGGCTAGAAGTCACACACTCATTATAATTTCAGTGCAAACTGCATTGGGATGCATCCGGAAGAAGGACACTCCTGTATCAGTTGGCCATGTGTGTTGTGCGTGCTGTTTTTCTGTTTGGGTGCATGCATTTTGTGAAATTGGAGGAGCTTTTTCCGTTCTTTGTGTTGCATCTGGCAGTTAGTAAGATTTAATTGGTGTTTGAAATGTAAAGCCCTGGATTTGCAATGTCTATAGAAGACTTCCAGTTTTTTTTTGTTGAAGAAACTCTTTTTTTTTTTTCCTAGCATATCATGTCTGAACCTGAAGAGATCACAACTATGTCAGGGCAAAAACTTCCACTGAAGATGTCTGTGGATTACATTTCTTTCTCTGCTCACACGGATTACCAACAAACCAGTGAGTTTATCCGGGCCTTGAAACCTCCACATGTGGTTAGTATTCATGCTACTTGCTTCTCCAGGGTGGATTCATGTACAAAAAAGTGAAATGGAACATATGTAATGCACTGTGCTTATTTGCATGTATTTTTTCTGCACACGGTGTGGCGTTGTGCCTTTGAATGATACGGGGAATTCAGAGACAAACACTGGACTGTGTGTAGGATAATTGAGCTGATGTTTCTTGCATTGTGTTCATGAAATACACAAGAGGTAGTTTTCTTGGATAATTTGTTTACTAACCATACCTGGTTGGACAAATACCTTATGTTAAAAGGAAAACTGTCTTTCCTATAGATTTTAGTTCACGGTGAGCAGAATGAAATGGCCAGATTGAAGGCAGCACTGATAAGGGAATATGAAGATAACGACGAAGTTCACATAGAAGTTCATAATCCTAGGAATACTGAAGCTGTGACATTAAACTTCAGAGGAGAAAAACTTGCAAAGGTATGAAATCAGTATTTTCATCTCCATACAATAACATTTGTTTCCAATCCTCTGAAACTAAGGTGTATGTTCTCTTCCAAGCCTCTAAGGTAAACTGGTTTTGGGTTGCATGTGTTTTACAAGATCTCAAAGTGTATGAATGTTTTTCTTGGCTAACCTAGATCTATTCTGCTATCAATAACCTGCTGGTGCTTTTTCAGTCCTGTCATCCCAGTCTGACTTTGCTGTGTAATCTGAACAGCACTCATCAATTTTCTCCTAACAAAGAATATCAATTCCAGTCATGCTAGAGCACTGCATTCTGTGCATAAATAATGTGATAGACTTCATTTACATTTCAGGAAGATGCTGTCAAACACCCGTTCCATCCATATATACTAGAAGAGAATAATTACTTTGGCTGAATTAAATAATTACATGCTTGACTATAATCAGGCATTTAGAGATGCTGTCTCTAGATACTTCAATCAGTGAGACAGCTTGTAAACAGGATGCTCTGGCAGAAGGAAGTGTGTAGCCATGAATGTGGTGCATCCAGTAAAATGATCAAAAAAAAACAAAAACAGCTTAAAGATATTGTTTTGCAAGTTTATTTCTTCTTACTCAGAACACATCTATATGCATCTAGAATGTATTTAAGATATGATTGTATTTTGTAATACAATCTTTCAATGTTACAGTAAAACCTACATACTGAAATAAGTAGAAACCAATATGTACATGGAAACTGTAGAGAAGTGTATGTTGACTGGACAACAGATTGCTTCTAATCAGATTCTAGTTTGGGTCCTTTGAAGAATACCCTTTTTTGATGACTGGTCACCTTGTCCCCAGCTTACCTTACACTGCACTGTATTTAGCATTGGTTTTCTCGTGACACTTCAGTTTGGAGGAGGAGTGACTGACAATGTAATGTGCTTGTTCTAATTCTACATTTACTCTTCCTTTAAAATAAAATCCACTGAGAAAGGTTCAGTTTAGCTGTTTGATTCCCAAAGCAATGCAGTTACAACATGGGATAATTTCAGTCAAAGGGTCCTCCTGAAGCAGGCCCACTTTCACTCACAGCAGGAGCAGCAGCAGCAGGTGGCTTACAGCCTTGTATGGTCTGCACTTGCATTCCTCCGATGTCTTCGTAACCTCTCTGGACAACGGCTCTGATGTTCAGATATTTGATGGTGGGAAGATTCCAGATCTTTCCCAGAGGTGTAAAAGCAAAGGGGCAGAAGTAGAATCCCACTGGATTACAGTGCTCATCTCTCAGCTTGTGGAAACTAGCAAATGTTGCTGAAAACTAGAAAGCAGATGAACCTGACTCCTTCTGGGACTGAATTGCACGACCAGTATCTAGAAGATAATCTATACAGTTTGCATGTGTGTTTTCTATGGCAGCTACCAGAGGAAGGCTGCCACATTATTTAGTTTTTTATATTTTTACTCTTTAAACCTTTTCTTGTGGCTGTCTGAGGTTGCTGTAACCTCCCTTTATTTTCAGAACAACTCCATACGATGCTTGGTTGGTTTTTTTTTCTGAATAACCTATGTTTCATCTGTGTAGTTGGCTTCAAGCTTGCTTTGTTGCACTAGGTGTGTTCTTTTGTTTTCAGGTGATGGGATCTTTGGCAGATAAGAAGCCAGAGCAAGGACAGAGAATTTCTGGAATCCTGGTCAAAAGAAATTTTAACTATCACATCCTTTCTCCTTGTGACCTCTCCAGTAAGTAAAGGCAGTAATGTACTTGGTGGATAATTGAAGCTCTCTGTATTCTTCTCCTGTCATTAAAACACATACAGTGCTGGCTTTTGTTTGCTTGTTTGTTACTTTGTGTTGGAGGTGATCATTGGACACATGTTGGTGTTAGTTTGGCTTAGGTTTGCCTACATTTCTGAACTGTTGGTGTGAGAAATAAGACATTCAATTCAGTGTCCTCTGAAATTCAAGACTTTTTCTGCCTTTTCTGCAGAAAAGAAGAAAAATTCCTTTCTCCTGGTTATGTTTAAGTACATATAAAAGGTAGCAGTGAGAGCAGAAGATTGCCTTGATCAATTATCCTGTTACTTTCTGAAATGCCATTAATTTTTAGTGGAAAAATGGCCCTGCAGTGAATGTGTTGTGCACTGCACCTTTGCTGTCTGTTGCTAGAAGAATTGATTTATTCTCAAACAGAAGAGTAGTTCAATGGAACAGTAAGGTCAGAAGAGTTGAGGAAAGCAGTTCAGCTGTCCCACCTCGTTCACTCTTTGCTTGTGACAAAATAACAAACTTCTGCTGGTTCCTTGACCACAAATGTATAATCTATTTTACAATAGACATTTCTCTTTACAAACGGTCCTTTTCAACCCCCTGCCTTAAATGTTTCAGTGCCATTGTTTCTCTATATTGACAACTTAATGTTTTAGAAAGTAAACTTAAAGTTTTTTTTAAAGGAAACTGTTGTTAATGTTCTTTTAAAAACTCTTTCAGATTACACAGACTTGGCTATGAGCACTGTAACACAGACACTGGCTATTCCCTATACTGGACCTTTCAATCTGCTCTTTTATCAGCTGCAGAAGCTTACTGGTGGGTATTCAGAAAGAAACGTTTGTGGTTTGTTTTTAAAACAACTTCCAGTCTTCTCAGGACTTCTGAGTGGAAATTTCTTTGCTCTGAAGTGCCACAATTTGTTTTGTGTTTCATGGCTTTTGTTAGGTGATGCAGCTTCTGCCAAGTCCAGGTCGTGAATGTGACTGACCCTCTGTGGGCATCCTAATGTAACTGTAATACAAATCCATCAGCATGCAGCAGTGTAGAACCTCAGTTGATTTTTGTCTCCTGTCAGCCCCCAAAGTGAGCAGCTCAGCCACCCTGATGAGAAATTTAGCAAATGATAATCTTTTATTTCCAGCCCCAAAGTAGAATGGTTAACGACATCTATTTAATAAAAGATGCAAAAAATTGTCTTTCTTTGTGTCAGACAACATATTCTGTTCCTCCCCATGAGGGACTGATCCATCCTTCTTGGCCTTTTCCATGCCAGAAGCCATTTAAATCGGCTGCTAGAGCGATTTCCTGTGCCTCTGTCTGGTTTTCTTAAGGATAGGGGCAACTCCCATCCTGGTTCCTGAAAGGCACAGCATGTACCAGGATCCCTTCCCAGATTAAAGCTCAGGAATTTTTTTTTTCCCTCATCTAGTGACAGAGTCAAATGTGTATCACCTGTGAAGAGAAGACCTGCATTCAGTTGGTGTTCAGGTCTCACAGCCTGAGTGCTGCCTCACGCAAGAAAGGCTTTCGTTTTACTTCGTTTTTCTTTTCCATTGGTGTGCTCAGGTCAACATACTAAGCCAGTCAACCATGAGAATCCAAAGCAAGTAAAATGGCCAGTACTACACGCTCAAAAAGCCATGCAGATACAGCTAGTCCTGTTCTCAGGTCATTTTATTCTTGCTAACCATTTGTTGCTGCTTCTTAGGTGATGTAGAGGAAATAGAAATTCAACAAAAACCAGCCCTGAAGGTCTTCAAAAGTATTACTGTAATCCAGGAACCAGGCATGGTGGTCCTTGAGGTAGGCACTGGGGGGGAGAAACAACTGTTTTTCATTCTCCAGATCCTGTAGAATAGTGCCATGTAGGTGCTGTGCACAATGAAATGCTTTAAGTGGCTTTCCGTTGGATGATGAGTGGAACGAAAAGGAGACGTTGCCTTTGGCTGCACTCCTGTGCTCATGCATGTTATTTCACTTAGCTGGTTTCTTCTCGTACTGTGACTCAGTGGTTTAATGGTAGATTCAGTGCCCTTTTTAATTGGGGAATTGGTAATTGGAAATAAGGTTAAATAGTGTTCCCTCCTGCTCTCCCATGTTATGTTAACTAATAACTATTTTGTAAATGTGTCCAGAAATATTCAGCAGCTTTAATTTTTCGTGAAAAGTTATTAGAATGCTTCAAGTTGCAAATAGTTCAGACTGCTAAATGTGTGACAGTCATTTGAAGCTAGAATTTAGAGGGGAAAAAAACAAAGAAAGCCATGAATGTTGTTTTTATGTTGTGTTATTTATTGAGCCCCAACAGCAGGCTGAAATGGTGATTTGATTTCTGTTTTTTTGATCTTCCAGTGGGTGGCAAATCCTGCTAATGATATGTATGCAGACACCGTGACCACAGTGATACTGGAAGTTCAGTCAAATCCTAAAATACAGAAAGGTAATCAGTCCCACTGTGTGCTTCTTCAACTCAGGTTCTCTTCTGAATTTTCAGTATCAGGCTTCAAGAGCTTTAGAACACCTTAAAATAGGTTTCCTGCTATTGTGCTTCACATCGTGAAACTTCTTAAGTGTTTCATGTTCCTCAAATGCAGAATTACATTTACAGCTTCATTTTCATTGTTTGTAGCACATCCTCGTGTTGAAGCTTTCTCTTACGCATCGGTTTCTAGCTGTCTGTGGAAAATGCAGCCCTATTTTAAAAGAAGTTAAATATTAGTCCCTTTTAGTTTTATCATGTAATGGATGGGACCCACTGAAATGTTTCAGCTTCTCATGAGAAAGTCATGGTTACCATTCACAAGCAGTATTCCTGTGACTGCACAACAGAAGGAGTTAGGTAGGGGCTGCTGAAAAGAAGACTAATTTCACAACTGCACCAGGTGATATGACTGGGTAGTGAAAGTGTCATCAGATAACAGGCTTGGCATTGCTTCTCGAGAATCAGAACCATTTTGTTGAGGTTGCCAGTGCTGATAGTTCTTTGTTCTGCTGCTTTGGTTTCAAACACATACATCACTATGCTAAAAATCTGGAGCAGACATTGAATATTATGTTGGCATCTCTTTGTGGCACTGAGGATAAATGTTGGCAGCTTGTTAACACTGCAAGGCAGATAATTCAATGACAATCCATTTATCATTCTATATCAGGTCCTTTCGTGAAGACTAAGGATCTAGGTCTGCAGTGTATCCTTAAACTAGCCCACAGTGTTAAATGACTAACAATGGGTAGTGAGGGATCTGATTTGATGTCTGTTGTCAACTCACAAAACATTTTATTTACAACACTCCTGGTAGATTTTTCTTTCCAAACCAGTGAGGAGGGCACTGGAGCTATATGAACAAATAGCTGTTTTCTCTGGGTTACTCCTTATGTCTTCTTACTATATATTTTTATCATAGAATCACAGAATGGCCTGGGTTGAAAAGGACCACAATGATCATCCAGTTTCAACCCCCTTGCTACATGCAGGGTCGCCAACCAGCAGACCAGGCTGCCCAGAGCCACATCCAGCCTGGCCTTGAATGCCTCCAGGGATGGGGCATCCACAGCCTCCTTGGGCAACCTGTTCCACTGCATCACCACCCTCTGAGTGAAAAACTTCCTCCTAATATCTAACATAAGTCTCCCCTGTTTTAGTTTAAAACCACTCCCCAATAATTACATATAAAACAGCAGTCACTGTTCCTTAGCTGTTTAGTCTCACACCTGACTCAACAACTCTGTTAGAAATTCTTTCTCCCACGTTTGTAAATTCACACAGCAGTTCTGTTGTTATATTTGGGTAAAGGTCATACAGTTCTCTTGGTTGTGATATTTTCAGTATGTATTTTCTTGTCAGCTTCTAGCCGTGTGCTTATGCTCTGATTTGTGAAAACTAACCAAAAGTACAGATGATGCAACTGAAATATCTTGTATTCTTCCTTCATTTCCAAAAGGACAGTGTTCATTTTAAGCTACCTAATGATTTTGAACACAAAGTCTAAAAACATTATCAGCATTTCCAACCTCCATTTGTTCCAGGAATGTCACTGTTATTATTGCTCACGTTTGGTGTTCAGTTTTACTTTGTGTTTCTGTATGCTCCTACACTCCGTGATGCAGTGCTTTACTACAGCTAAAGAAAATAGAAGGATTATAAACAAGTCATGAGGATTTCTTCCACTTTTAAGTATATGAAAGTAAAATGACTTTTCCTTTTCAGCTGCAGTGCAGAAAGTTTCCACAAAAGTCGACATGGAAGAGTATCGCAAGAGAATGGAGATGATGCTTCAGTAAGTCAGCGTGTATTTTTCTCAATGAAAGCGATCGCCGTTAATCATGTACATAGAGTAATTTTATTACAATACCACTTAAAAGCAGAGTGAATTTAAAATAACCAGTACAGATTAACATTTCTGTGTAGGCCTGGGGTTAAGTAAAGACGGAAGTACCCTGAAAAAGCTCTCAGGATCATTGAGACTACAAATCTGGGGCCCAGTTACTTCATCCATCAATGGAGTTGTACCTTTTCTCCCAAAATTATACTGTGAATTCTTACAGGAAAACATTTTGGATTGTCTCTCTTAAACTTACTCTGGTGTTTGCTCTGTTACTCAAGCAGACCTCTTACCTCTTGGACATTAGAGGAATCCATTGCTTTATTTATGAGACTTGTTCTGGTAAAATTCTTACTCTTATGTGACACTGCCTCCCTTAATTTAGATTGTGACCTGTTAGTCACATCTGAATGGGATAAATAATGGCTTCTGAAAGGACACAAAATGCCTTTGGAAGCCTAAGATTAATGGAAAGGAAATGTAAGTTTGCTGTTTGGCAGTTACCTTATGTGAGTCAACCTCTGTTTCAGGGATATGTTTGGAGAAGACTGTGTAAGTTCAAAAGAAGGCTCAATTCTGTGTGTCACAGTAGATGGCAAGACTGCAAACCTTTCACTGGAAACTCGGGTATGGAGAGTGAAGCACTTGTGGTTATTTATCCATGCTGTGTCCAGTAGGATGCAGGAACATCAGTGTGGAGACTTGCTGAGCATCAGTGATGGTATCTCCATGTGAATCCACTTACAATGTTAACCTGATGCAGTGCAGGTTACTTCACTCACGAAATTACATCTCTGAGGACTGACATTGTGTGTTTTTGTTTGATTTTGAATCAGTTGCAAGCTACGGAACTTAAGACATTTCACATAGCATGAAGCAAAGAACTCATCAAACATGACGTCATTTTTCATCATCTTTGGCAAGGTGTATGCAGCTCTTCACTGTACAATTCCACACAGTGGTGGAACATTTAAGAACAGAAATTGCAGCTGAAAGCTCTTGATAACCATAGCTGTAATCTGCGTGACTGCTCTTTCTTTTCTCCTTATGCACAAACATTGCTGGTATTCTGAAAAACAATCTGACGTGCTGGTTGTTCTCATACACTTCTTTTTTTGTTCTCAGACAGCTGACTGTGAGCCAGGAAGTGAAGACGACGAATCCCTGCGTGAAATGGTGGAACTGGCTGCACAGAGGCTCTACGATGCCCTCAGCCCAGTGTACTGCTGACCTCTGTAGATACCTAGGACACATACAGAAAGCTCTGAATGTTCAAATTTATTTGGACTGGTTTTTTAAAGTAAATAAATTTTTTCATCAGCAAGTCAAACGCATTATATGAGTGGGAAACCAACTTCAAATAAGGGGTGAGCAGCCTTACCTATGTCATCTGCATTTGTGCATGTACATCATAATAAAGTGTGGTCCTCTTGAGTTAGTGGAGGTGGGTCCGGCAGCAAAGCGTGCTGAAAGAACATGACTTCTCTGGGATGCATCCTCTGCTTTTTTCCAGCATTTCACATTCAGCAGTCACATTTCACAGCATGGTTTGGGTTGGAAGGGACCTTTAGGATCATCCAGTTCCAACCCCCTGCTACAGGCAGGCACACCTCCCACCAGACCAGGGTGCTCACAGCCCCATCCAGCCTGGCCTTGAATGCTTCCGGGATGGGGATATCCACAACCTCACTGACAACCTGTTCTAGATGTCTCACCACCCTCACAGCAATGAATTTCTCCTAAATCTACTCTCCTCCAGTTTAAAGCCGCTCCCCCTCGTTCTGTCGTTACGTGCAGGCCCTGACAGCCGGCACCGTTGGTGAAAGTCTGTGCGTCCACTCTCCCTGCCCGGCACATCCCTGCCTCGCTAAACACGAGCCTTTGCAAGGTGGTAATTTCATCGCACCACAAAAGAACCCCCTCTTTGAAAAAGCGAAATATGGTACCATTAACTCGTGACGGTGACGGTGATTGGGTCCGTGTAGAAGGCCGTGTATCGGCCCGCTCCCGCCCGCCGCTCTCCCGCCGCCCAGCACAGCCCGCGGGGCTCCGCCGGAGGCACGGCGCTGCTGCGGGAGCCCTTTAAAGAGCGAAGCCGCCCCTCTCGGCCCCGCCCTCCTCCTCCGCCCTCTTCCCGCCGTGGGAGCCGGACGTCCGGCCGTCATGGCGCTGGCGGAGGCGGTGGCGGCTCGGGGGCGGGCGCTGCCGTGGCCGCGCGTGGTGCTCTTCGGGGACTCCATCACCGAGGTAGCGGCTGCGCGGCGCTGCCCTCGGCTCCGGGGTTTGTCGTTCTTTACGGAGAAATGAGCAGCCGGGGGGAGGGGGGAGCCGGCAGAAGCGGCTCGGCCGAAGGGAGGTGGTTGTTCTTACGGGGAGGTTTGTGCCTAAGCCCGGCCCTCGCGCAGCTCCGTCAGCTGGCCGAAGGGAGCGGCGGGGCGGCCCGTGTGCCGCGGGATGAGGGCGCTGCTGGGGCGGGGCGGGGCGGGCTGCGCCGTGCCGGGCTGCTAACCGTGTGCCGTGCTTTAGTTCTCCTTCCAGGAGGGCGGCTGGGGAGCGTCCCTCGCTGGCAGACTGGTCAGGTAAGAGCAGAGATCTCACAGGTGTAGCTGGAGAAGCGTGTGGCTTCACTGCGAGGCAACAGCGCTGGGATGGGCGTCCCGCAGGGGTGTCTCGTTCTTTCGGGATGTCCAAACCGGCCCGGGCGTGCTCCTGTTGGCCGTCAGGGAGAAATGCTTTGCTCAGAGGGCAGTGAGGCCCTGACACAGCTGCCCGGCTGTGTGGTACCCAGTCCCTGCAGCTGCTCGATGCCGGGTTGGGTGGCGCTGAGCCTGAGCTGGTGGGCAGCAGCCAGCCCACGGCAGGAGTTGGGCAGGTGGGCTGAGAGGTCCCTTCCAATCCAACCGTCCTGTGATCCTGTGCAATTCTAAAACAAAGTTAGAACTGTGTTAGAAAGTCCTGTGAAGTGTCACTGATTCTAAGAGTGGCAAAGGCGCCTGAAGACTCCCTGACAGAATGGGTCAGAACTTCTCAGGTCTTGCTCAGAAGGGTGGAGCAGTTCTGTTACTGTGTGTCTGTTTCAGAAAATGCGATGTAGTAAACCGTGGGTTCTCGGGGTACAACACCCGATGGGCTAAACTCATCCTTCCAAGGCTGATCGGTAAAAGTGCTGCTGCTGAGAGTACTGTTGCCGTCACTATTTTCTTTGGAGCTAATGACAGTGCTTTGAAAGGTACCGTAGCTTCCATTTATTCCTGTGACCTTTTTTCTCTTAAGGCAGTTCTACAGTTAGCAGAAAGGCTGAACGTTATCCAGGCCTTCCCTCCTTTTTGAGGCAGTTGCTCTTTCTTACAGTGGGTTGTTTTCAATTATCGTATTTGTATTTAAACTACGTGCTGCCTTCTGTTTCTCGCTGACCAAGAGATAAGAGTTCAATAATGACAGTAATCTTCGAGGCAGTCAGTAACGAACCATGCATCCAACATGTGGAGTTGGGCACCTAGTGGAATTTTCTGCCTTTGAAGCAATCTGATGGATCTTTGTTAGCTGAGGGAATGGAGGCAGACAGCCTTTGGATTCTCTTTAAGATAAGCGTGGCTACATGCGGGCGAGTCTCATCAGAAGGTGAGATCAGTGTGTGAAGGACTGGCTGGGAAATCCATGGATGTTGCCAAATTTTTCTTAGCTTTTGTTTTGGATGAAGTTTGAGGCAATTATGTGGTCAGACACTGAAAGTGAACTGAAAATGAGCCGTGCTCATGGTTGTACAAACCACTGTAATCATCATGTGATACGTCTGTGAGCAGCTCCATCTCACACCACTGATGTGATTCCTCTGACCCCTTGCAGATGTGAACCCTAGGCAGCATGTTCCTCTGGAGGAATACGCCGCCAACCTGACAAGCATGGTGCACTACCTGAAGTCTGTGGACATCAATGAGGACAGGATTATTTTGATAACGCCGCCTCCTCTTCAGGAATCAGCTTGGGAAAAGGAGTGCCTTGCCAAAGGTAAAGGAGTGCAACATGTGGGCAGAATTTCTGCTTTTTAACCCCAGAGCTTCTGGGGTGCCCTTCTGGGTACATATTTATAGTGCTTAATTCAGAATCCTGCCAGAAAACATAAAGGCTGTTTCCTGCTGTCAAGAAAGTAGTTTCCAGCTACTTGGATGGAGATGGTTCCCATGTAGTTTGTAACGGGCGATGTCTGCTGATTTCAAAGAGTGAGCTGCATCATTTCTGACTGCTGAATGACCCTGCATGTCTGACAGGTGACAAGCTGAATCGCCGCAATGCCACCACTGGGGAATATGCACAGGCCTGCGTTCGAGTGGCGAGGGACTGCGGGACTGATGTGCTCGACCTGTGGACATTGATGCAGAAAGATCAGGTATGGTAGCAGAAGGTGGGCTTTGGAACTGTTATAAATAGTGAAATGCGTAATTCTACATAGAGGAACCAAGAGCAGTGCTGCATTATCACTGGAACAATAATCTCCAAAAGGAGCAAAATAGTTCAGAGTGCTTTGCACTGGGCCACATGACGTGCTCCTTAACATGAACTGAGCATCACCTGTGGCTAGCAGATATCCCCAGGTGCACTGCAGGTATGTACTGGTGTCCTTGCTTTGACTCGTGGGATAGGTTGGAAGGGGCCTCAGGAAGCAACTGGTCCCACCTGCTGCATGGTGCTGGCTGAGCTCACAGGTGCACAGGCACCTTCCTCATGCTGCTGAGTGAATGCCCAAGCGTGTCCAAGAGTCAGCAATGGTAGCTTTGCTCTGTAAGCTGTTCACACTGAACCTTTTCTCTGTCCTGCACTTCTGAGTGCAGAGATGAGCCAATGGTGCAGTACTGTGTGATGCAGAAAACTGACTCAGCAATTTGCTTGCACCATTCCCTCATCACACGGTCATTTCTGCATGAAAGCAGTGACTTTGGCTGCCAAAGCATTCTCTTAATATTTTAGTACTGAGGGCTGCCCTATCTACCAAGTTTTGAGTAACTTACTGAAAAATCACTCATTGCAGCTAGCAGTACAGTAACACTTGGCTTTTGCTTCCCCTGTAGGATTTTTCGTGCTATTTGTCTGACGGGCTTCACTTATCAATGAAAGGGAATAACTTCCTCGTGGGACAACTCTGGTCACTCCTGGAAAAAAGACTCTCAGCTCTCCCTTCATTGCTTCCTTACTGGCGGGACGTGGACCCCCAGCACCCCGAGGTGAGCCTGCTGTGAGGTGCCCTGCAGCAGTGAAGCCCAGCCTGTCTGATGGAGCGAGCGCACGTCCAGCTGCTTTGTACCTCTGCGCCCCTGCTGATGGTGATGAGGACTGAAGTGGACTGTCTGCTCTGTAACCATTTTTTTCAATAAAGATTGGCCAAGGGGTGGAAACGGCACTGGATGGAAGCTGCCGCCTTCCTGCTGCAGCTGCTGACAACAAACAGTGCGTGTGTGTGTGTGTTCAGTGAACAGGGGTTAGGGCAGAGGACGGGGTTTGGAGGGCAGAGTTCTGCCCCCGGCTGCCCCCTGCTCACAGGCTTTCAGCTGCAGTTGATGTCTTCTCCAAAAGGACTGCCCAGACACAGTTTTTGTTTAATTGATTTTAATACAAAAAGCTTTTACTGTACTGGGAATTAAATTAACTCCTCACACATGTACTCTGCACTGAATCAAAAAAAAACAACACAAAAGCAACAAAACAACCAAACCAAAACCAGTATATAAAAGAAGGGCTATCAGAACACCGTAAGGCACACATTCAAGTATCAGTGTAACAAGTATTTGGGTGGGGAAGGCAGAGCGGTGCTCACGCTCCTCTCATCACAGGTTTGCTTCCTTTCCATCACATTTACGAACTCCAAGGCTTGCCCCAGCTCTGCCTCCCTGGTGGCTGAGTGCAGGCCTGTAACAGGTAAAATGGTTCCCATCCATTCACGCACCATGTCAGCTTTAACAATGCATTCTTAGGGGAGAAAACAGGCACAATAAGGCGCTCTGCTTCCATGACAGCTGCTCTGTGACTCACCCTGTCAGCCCACCTGAGATCAGGCTGAACTCAGGCTATGGCACCGCTTCTGGCCCACGCATCCCATGTTACAGAGCTCCAACTGAAGGGCACCAACAAGTTACCAGCTGTTAACATCACACTGTACTAGCTGTAGGGAAAGTGGAGTTTACAACATCTCCCTAGCACAGCACAGGCCCTGTAAGTAAGTCTAACAAAGCTTGCTTTTTCATTGTTCAAATTCACAACTGCTCCCCTGCATGGAGTGCAGAACTCTTGCAGTGATTTTTAAGAGCTTCCCAGGCTCAGCCCTTTGAATAGCTCAACAATAGTGTTAACCTTCTCAATAATCAACAGAAAAATCAGAGAAACATTTCTGCACTGAAACGTCCATAAGTGGTTCAAACAGCTCTCGTCTGCATACGTGATTTCTCCACTTCTTTCCCTTCCCTCCCTTGCCCCCTGCACCCCACTGCAGTGGGAAAACTCGCAGGGGGAACATTTCCCTGCAGTAAAAACACAGGGACAGGGCAGCCTCACAGCTAGAGGGGCATCTCCATACACTGAGCAGGGTTTAACAGCCTCTGCACAACCCTACTATTTATTGAGAAGCTTTCTCACAAACTCCTTGATGCTGATATGCATCTCCACATTATATGCCAAGTATTTTACCTGTTTCCTTCTGTTCTCCAGGTACGTGTAATGCTTATACTTTGGCTTACCTGTACCTCATAGGATCTGCTCCACATGGAGCACTGTGGAGTATTTGCTTTGCTTTGCTTTGCTGGCAAAGCCCTTTAATTTCATCTGTCAGTGCCACCAGACTGCAAAATACGACATTACAAAAGGCAGATATACACACAACGTGATATCCTGGAGGATATTCTGTTCTGCACCACAGGTTGAAGGAAATGTTAGAGGTCAAGAAAGTAGAAAAAATCCAATGAGCTTCAAAACCAAGACTGTCTCCATGTGGAGTTCCGGTTTTTAAAAGATATAATGCTCTAATAAATGTAATTTAAGGAAGGTCATACACATGACCAGCATCTGCAGTAGGTCGCTTCCTTATTTCTCCCACTCCCTCACAAAAATATATATACATATATCTGTATTTATAGAAATGAAATGGTTTTAGATCCAGAGGAACTTCTGCAGGCGGGAGCCGCGCGGTGGAGGCAGCGGGACATCAGCACTCCGTCTCCTTGCTGTCCACTCGGTTCTGGCGCTGCAGTTTAAAAGACGACGCTTTCTCACTCCTGGTGACAGGATGCTCTGTCAAGTCCTCAAAAGATTTGGCAGCCGAGCTGCTGTTTGGGAAAGGGTCCTTCTCAAACCCGTCCTCGTCAATATGAGAGTCGGTGCTGGGGTCCTCCTGAATTGTGTCCATTCTTTGGTGGTCCTGCTTGGGAGCAGCGGCGGCTGCAGGCGCAGCCACGATGGGCTGCAGGGGTTGGTGCCGGCTGGTGGGCTGCGCTGTGGGGAAGGGCTTCACGATACGCACAGAGGCTGAGTCCAGGCTGCTGGGCACCTCCACGTTCTGCAAGACACGAGTGGCCTCATCAGTGGGGGAGGCAACCAGGTTCTCAGTCAGCACTCGCTTTGGGTGCTGGCAGCAAGGAGAACTGGCTAAAGGCACCTCGGCTGAGCAGCTGCGCCTCTGCCGGTGGTCTGAAAGCCGCTCTTCCTCCCTTCTTCCCTGGTGGGAAGGAGGGATATGTTAAATTGCATTGATTTCTGCTTCTATTTGAGCGTGGTTTGGAAAATAGCCAAGGATTTCCAGGCATGAAAAATCCCTACAGACCTTAGCAAATGCCAACAATGGGCAGGGGAAGGGGAGAGCAGACAAAGGAATGACGTGAGCAGCAGGATGAGACATTTATACGCTAACTACTGCATTTCTGAACTGCTCAGGATGCAGTGGACTTTAGGGATCCCAGATTTCTCTTATAACACTGCTACTGCTGCAAGGAGCCCTCTGAAGACAGCTGCACTCCATGGCTGCATCTGCTTTTGAATCTGAGCAGTAACATCCAAGGAGACTTTCCTATGGCATGGAAGAGCAGTTACAGAGGATCCAGCTACCATCACCTTCAGCTACGTCCGAGCAGAGCACAGAGGCAATGTGCCTCCAAGTCTGACTCCAGTTTGCTTCCCTCAGAGGCAAAGGAGCTGTGCAAGGCTTCTTTTCTCCTCTCACTACAAAATGACATTTCCATAACAGTGTTTCAACAAACTGGGGTATCAAAGCACAGGATATGATACCCAAAACTCTGTCAGAAGACACCCTGAGCTGGACTGTAAGATTTAGCTATCCTCAAATCAGTACCTACAGAGTGAGATGTGCCATCACCTCAGAACCAACCCTGCACCCTGGGGCTGACTCTCCCACAAGCAAGTGGAAATCTGGCCACTGAGCCTCCTGCAAACCACCATTCTGCAGCGAAGCCACTGCACTTTGCAGAGATTTCCCTGCAGCACTGCCCTGCTGAGCCCTGTGCTGCAAAGCACGTGGCTGGGAACAGCTGCTCTGTTGCTGGAGCCACAAACGCCCCATAACACAGTGCCTGCTGCTGCAGCAGAGCAGCTTCCTGGCTCAGGCAGTGCAGCTGGTGTGAGCTAACTGCCCTGCCGGCACTGTCAGCACACAACTCACACAACAAGTGGACTGGTCAAACTGCAGGGCTTGATATATCAAGCACCAGCTCAGTAGAAAAAGGTTCTCTCAAATGGATTCATCCATCTGCAGGTCAAGGCATGGGATTCCAGGTCCATCTACTGTCACTGCTTTGCCAAAATACTGTACAGAAACGTTAGGTTCAGATCTACAACACACTGGATGGCTTTCAGACACAAACTTACACTGGCACAGAACAGAGACTTGTTGTTTTCCTCATATTGCTTGTCCAATTTCTTGTCCTAATGAAAAACAAACCAAAAGTAAATCAAAATACACACAAAAGTAGTTTCCCAGTTGCAAGCAAGGTCCCTGTTCCAGTTGCCCTGCAGTGACACAGCAGGGGTGGGGCTGTTTTTTCCCTTCCCCGAAGTCCTCAGTGTGCTCGTGGGCACAGCAATCCCTGCTCCCACCCCACACCACATGCTTGGCTGCTATCGACTCTCTCTACCCCATCTGAACCAAGATCACTTCCTGCACTGGGTCTCCCCCCAAAACAAAAGTTTTAAGAGGGCTACAGAAAACTCTGACTCTAATGGGAATTGTTAGAACTATACTTGTGCAGAATTTGGAAGGCAGAAGAAAATCTGCCCAGGAAAGAACAGGAACATCTCCAGAACAGTCACTGGTGCACTGGTGTTGCTAGAGCTTGGCAGAGCTCAGGAGGAGCTCTGCCTACTGAAGGGACATTCGCTGGATTCTCCCTGTGGGGTTTGCTAAAATCTCCCCACCACCACCTCCCACAGACAGTACACAAGGAGTTTCTCCTCCAGCTCCGTTCAACAGAGCAGTCATCTCCAGCAATACTCACCACACAGTGCACAAGGATGCTGAGAGGAATCCAAAACAGCAAGGAGAAGACGAGCACAGAGCCCACTATGTTATCTGCCAGGAACTTCCCTGTGAATCGGTTCAAACCCATCAGTAACCTGCCAAGTACAGCTTCACGCCTACACACAAGTCTTTGTTCTGCTGCCATTGCAAAATTTGTCAGATAAACACAGGGTGCAGAACTAGGCCAACCTAATAGGAATTATACATTTAAAAAGATTTGATGCAATTTAGTAACACTGTCAACAGTAACATGTTCTCTGATAAGGGATGCTGACAGGCCATATTGTTCAATGTGAGCAGACTGGGAGCAGGCTGCCCTTAGCCAGGGTTCCTCACAATTGCAGGACACTGTGCATCTGTCCCCAACTTCTGATGGTACAACCACAAGACTCCACAACACGCTCATTTTTGGGCAGAGATGCAGAGTGCCTCTACTTGAGCAGACTGAATGGCTTTAATAATCACCTACACAGTATTTTTTATTTTTAACTTTAGAGCTTAGGTTTGAAAGCCTCAAACACACGTCATACAATCAGAGAATTGTTTGAGTTGGAAGGGACCCTTAAAGGCCATCTAGTCCAGCTCCCCTGCAATGAGCAGGGACACCTACAGCTCCATCAGGTTGCTCAGAGCCCCATCCAGTCTGACTTTGAAGGTCAGTGTGCACTGCCCTGTGCATGCACACATTACCACAAACACACGCACTGTTAACCCCACTGTTACACAAGCACCTGCTCCTTAACAGTGTCTTCAAGACAACAGTAACAGAAGGAGAGCAGCTGCCCTGGGAGGTGCTGCCTGTTGGCTGCATACTGGGGGTCAGAACCTCTCCATCACCAGCCTGTGACTCACAACAGACACATTGCTGGAAGGGGCTTTATTAAATGAGAGAAATGAAGTCTTCTCAGTCCATTGACATTTAAATCCCACTGAGGCCTACTTTTACTGTACCATGCTGAATCTAGCTGACCTCTAAGGAACTGTTATTTCCTTTTCTCTAATTGACCTACTTACTGGTTTTCAGACAAGAAGCTTTCTGGAATAGCTATCACATCTTTTACAAGCTTGGAAGATGACTAGGAAATAACAGAGTAGGAAATAACAGAGTGGAAAAATGCAAAATAATCCTATTCCTTGCCTTACAAGGTAAGATCAGTGATGTCAAACCTTTAGTTCACACTGAGAAGTAAACCAAACCACAGGACATGGTTATGTAATCTTACCGAAGGTGTTGATGCTAAGCTGGTCTATGAAATCCCAAAATCGTTCAATCACATCCTGTACTTGCTTCTCACATTTGCCCTGTAAAAGCAAGCATCTATTTACAAAATGATCTTAGGCTGTGTAAACATTAACTACTTCTTTCTTGGAGAGGGAAAAGGATGCAGAGATTGTTCTGAAATCAAAGCTGCAGAGAAATGGAAGCCCTTCAGACACTGTGAATCGATTTGAACTCATCCCAGCACCACCGCTCCACTTTTATTGCCTTTATTTTTGACCAAATTTCAATTCCACTGCTGACTGCAACAGATTCAGTCGTAATTATTGAAACATGCAAAAAGTGTTTCAACATCACAGGGGACACAAAACCAAAGTTTCTGGAGAGGCTGATGCACTGGAAGCCTCAATTCCTACTGCCCAAGGAGGCCACAGCTCTCAGGACCCCACAGATTGGCTTCCAGGTCTGTGCTGGTTTAACACAGTAAAGCATTGCTGCCCTTTCCATTCTGCAGCAGGACTGGGGTATGCCTCCCACTATTCACTTCTGCCAACAGAAAGTCCAGCCCTGTTTGCCAGGCCTGCAGACTACATGCTGGCCATGTAGCTGTGGTCACCACTGTGCTAGCAGCAAAGGCTCACAGCTCACCAGATATTCATGTCCTTGCTCCTGACTTAGCTGATTTCAGTCAGGATTAACTGGGCTAATATGTGGGCAGCTGAACAGTGCTGCTAACCCAGCCCAGCTTGTGGAAGTGTTTGGTCACTTCCTGTGCACAAGCTGCCAGCTGCTGACACGCAGGAGCAGCTAGAAGGGGCTGTAAGCAGCAGCAGAAGGAGCAGCTTCACCCTGCACATCCATTTATGGAGCTAAATTCTATCTGCACTCTCAGATACCTTGTAACATTTACATCATGGAAAGGCAAATGAGTCCAGATCCTGATCTTCTGCGAACCACTTTCTTCCTCAGCTTTACTGTCAGTCCCCCGGGAGCTGAAGGCAGCTGTGCCTCCTCTGCCAGCACACCCACAGCACCAGGCATCCCGGGCTGGAGGGGACCCACCGCTCTCCTCGGTTTCACTGCACCCAGGCCTGGGAGCGACAGAGCTTTGCCTGCTCTCCATCCAGCTACAAAAGTAGGCTGCGCAGTGCATGGCACCCAAGCACACTCACATTTGTGTCACAGAAGCCCACGGTACAAGGCTTCCCCTTGCGCAGAAACAGGAACTGGTGGTTGGCATCGACGTACGGCGTGCACCGATCCTGCTCGTCCCGGCAGCACACCTTGCAGGAGTTATCCGTTTCTGCAAGAAGGCAGCACAGCCCCATCAGCCCCTGCAACCCGCCAGAACATGCACAGTCCGTGTCCCCCAGCCGACCCTGCTGCTGCTCAGCTTTCCACGGGGAAGGCAGGACTATGCAACCCCATGACCAAGCCTGACGCTCAAACAGATGCCCAATTTAATGTTCTGGGGGACACAGTGGGACCAAGCTCTGCAGGCTGATACCCCTAGGCTGCAGGTGAGGAAGTTCCAAATGCAACCATCCAAGATGGATTCAAATGCTTCTTGGGTTTCAAGCCCTCCAGGAACCCTTCTCCTCAGCTATATCCTCTGTCTCAAATGGGGGGGCTCACTGTATGTCCCTCGGCATCTCCTGTGGAGTCCTCCTCCTCTTCCCAGCTGCTCTAACACACTTGGGAGATAAGATGGAGATCAAGAAAGCACTGTAGCTCATTGATACAAAGGCAGGACAGGCAGGTATGCACTAGCAGGGCTCGAGGATCCTATGTCCTCAAAGGCACTTTGGCTTCTGAAGTCTCTCTTCTTTTACTTTTTGGAGGTCACATTTGGTCCAGAGGCATCTCCCCACTATCAGAACAGCCAGACTTTCGCCTTCTAGTTGTCTAGAGCCAAGGAAGAAGATGGTGGGGATGCCTCCTTCTTTACCTAGGATGCAGACCCTAAGTTTCATCTTAATGTCTTCAACCAAGCCCACCAGAAGACAAAAGGACATTTACATTCCTTTCCACAGAACATCCCAAGCTGGAAGAGACCCATAACAATCACAGAGTTGTACCTGAGTCCAAACAGAAAATACTACACCCAAAAAAACAGTAAAAAAAACAACCAACAATCCTTAAGGGAACCATGTGCTCAGCTCTCCAACAGATTAGCCCAGCGCTACCTGGGGTCAGGGCTAAGGCAACACCTCTCAGTCCAGTCCCACACCACCCACCATTGCAGGCACACGAGCGAAGGTTCTTCTCCCTCTCGCAGAAAGGGATGCACTCGCCATCCTTGCACTTCCCCATGTCCACACAGATTGTGTCGTCTGGAGCATTCCCAGGAGGAGGGCACTCGCTGCTGTTCCCTGCAGACAGGGGGCAACAGGTAGGAGGTCAGTGTTAGAGCAGAGGGCATTGCTGCATTCTGGAGAGCAAGCAGCACACAGCAGATCCCAGAGGCCCCATGAGCAGAGCAGCATAGCTCTGACCTATCCCCTTGCCTCCAGAAAAGATTACAAAGAAGTAGTAAACAAGTGGGGAAGGGAAGCAGAGCTGCTGTAATTCCACCCTTTCTAGGGCAAGATTCAGTTAATCCTTGGCCCTTCCCAGTGACCTGCCCTGTTTTGCTTTCCTTTTCTTAAAGGAAGAAGAAATAAACATTCTTCATGTTCTACTGCGCAGCAAATCACCAAGCAGTTCCTGAACTACAACTTATTATAGAGCAGTTCTGTGGTGCTTAACTGGTCTCTAAAATTAGTTGTACCGGATGAATAAAGGGCGCCGGCTCAAAAGCTGATGGAACAGGACATTGAGCCTGGAGCACTTGGCTAGCTGATGGAGCGAGCACACAGCTCTGTCCTACCCGTGCAAAAAGACTCTCCTTTACAAGTGGCATTTATGGCTTCTTGGCATTTCTTCTGGGCACTTTCAAACTGGCAGCCTTTACAGCAGGGGCTGTTCCGATCACTGCGGAAAGATCAAAATGAAAGGAAGAAATACTGAGCATTTATTTGTGTATCTTAAAGAAGTAGGAGCACAACAAAAGGTGGAGAAAGAAACTCTCTCCCCCACGTATGAGATGCTGCAGTGCACCTTCCCTTACCTGCATTTGGCACCATCTTTCAGTTTGCAGTCTGCAGAGCAGCAGGGATCAGCTTGTTGGTACAAGAGGCCAGGATCGCATTCCTCCCCTTCGTCCACCCTGGAGTTCCCACACACTTTGTTGTTGCGCTCTTTGAAGCACTCCTGAGCCTTGATCTCTATGGTCCTATGGATGGATTTTTTGCTGCAGCTTGAAAACATCTGGAGAATCATAAAGAGAAAGAGCAGCACTGAGGAGTGCACCCTTCTGTCAACAAATACATCTGTGACAGCCTCAACCTCTTCACACCTCCAAATCTTGGTGTCTTAGAAAGCATTTATTCTTTCCATTGCTGCCATCTTGACGGCTCCGAAGAATTTTAAGATGGGAAAATGGCCACAGCCACAACAATTGATTACAAACAGCACCTGGACACATCATGAACCCCAGAGAAACTTGGAAAGCAAAGATGAGTTCATCTTGCAGAGAATCCAACCGCAAGAAGTTGTGTTTTCTTTTTATGGTTAATCCATTAAATTCCCATATGCTTCAAAGTGAACGAATCATTAACTAAATAGCCTTCCTGTGTAAAAGGTCACTGACCATAGCAAAGACTTGCACACGTAAGCAAAATTATGCAACTATACCTTATTGTTTTCATGATCTCCACTGACAGCAATTGGATACATAACATATTTCCCTCCCTGGTCCTCTGTGGGGGCACATTCTGGCAGACTGTCAGGATCGTGCTCTGCTCCAAAGTTATGGCCAAGTTCATGTGTTGTAACCAAGTCGGCCTCCTTTGTTGAAGATGTAAAAAAAATAGGAGTGCTGAAAGAAATCATTTTGAGCAGGACAGGACAGGACATCCCAACCACTTCTAAGTCACCCACAATTCTACAATACACTGAGATGTAAAAGCCATTTCCCCACTATCACAGAAGCAGGGAACTAAAGGCAAGTACAGATCTGGTTTGCATCCAAAGGCAAGTTCCAGGCTAGGTCAGAATGTTAAAGCCTTGTTAAAGACGAAGTGCTGCCCAAGAATACCATTCAATTTTGTTTTCAGTGTAAAGCAGATACTCAAAATATCACAAACTGATTTTAAACAGCTGGAAGGCATGAAAGTTCAACACAAAAACCAATCCAAACAAACAGCAGCTACCACAATTAGTCAATTTCTTGTTCAAGCTTATCTTGCCATTAGAATTATTTCTTCTAAATAAATGATTACATCAGGAGCACTGAATAAGCTCTGCTATTACATAACTGCTAAGAAAGACATCTACAAATGCAGCCCGACAGGGAGGAATTTCTAACATCTCCACTGCAGGAGATGATTCCTTGTGCTGAGGATCCCACGCAGCTCCACATGGTGGCACGGCACCTCTCTGCAAGGCTGTGACCAGTAGGTGGTGGCAAGTTCACAAGGTGACAAAAGAAAATGGCACAGAAATATGCTAACCTCAAGGAGATCGGATGCTTCATGACAGAAAGAAGTTTGGTGAGGTAACAGTCACTGCTGCTGGTGTCCAGTACTAAGCATGCCCACCAGGTGAGCCAGGGCAGGAGAACTGCCCAGAGATCGCATCGGTGCTTTATGGCATTTCATTTGTGGGAAGGTTTTAAACAAATTCTTTTTAAGTCTGATCAGATGCTCTGCAAAAGTCTCCCTGTGAAAACAGTCTGCATGTGCCCACTGCCTCAGCCCAAGCTTTGTGACTCCTACTGGGCCGACGTCAAACTCAATTTCCTTTGTCGTCCAGGACGGGGCTCCAGCTTGGAGACTGAACAACGAATGCAAATAGCATGGCAACAGCCAGAGCTCTTTGTCAACATCCCTCGAGCACAAAGCTTCTCTGTCTTTTTTTCCTAGCTTCTTGACAGCTTCTGCGCCAAGTTTTAGCCCACACATCAATTATGAATTCCCTTTATAATCAGGCTACAGCAAAGCACAGCTGAGAAGTCAGCAGGAGAAAAATACACTGCTGCAAAGATCTGCTAGCTGCAAATGCAGACACTGCTCTGCTATCTTCTCAAGTGAGACAGAGCTCAGACTGAGGCCCTTATGTCTATATTGTCGCATCAGCTATGAAAAAAATCCAGACAGCATCAATTTACATCAGTGTTAGCACCCCTGCTTATTACACTGTTTTCTGCACTACTTATTCAAGACACATGCACACACAAAAAGCAGGAAGATGAATTTCATTAAAAGGTCCAAACCAGACCTCCTACTTCGCCTACACTACAGCACTGCTTTACCTTGCATGTAGAACAAGCCTACGTATGCTATCTTCCGTCTCCATACTGAGGACGCATGCAATAGCAAACACAGTAAGTCCTTATTTCAGACTAATTTTATTCTTGCTGTAAGCCTCCTGGCTGTATAATATTGCCTGTCCTGTTTGAGAATGATTTTTTCTTTATTGGCAATAAAACACATTTAAATTAATCTCTGCATATCAAAATCCTATTTGTACTTGGATAACTTTTGGACAGTCCTTATTAGACAATGGCTACATTTCCCCCTTACTGTTCCCCAGTGAATTCGGTCTTCGATTGCATTCAATCCTAACACCTTCTGTCAACCAGGACAGAAATGGTGATAAGGGCTCTGTGACCTACATCCCTGTCCCCAGGGATCTGACTCCATCTGAAAGCCAGCAGCTTGCTGCTGACAGAGTACAGATCATCACAACCCCAGAAAAACACATCACCAACAAACAAGTACATACACCAAACACTCACTCTCTGCAGAGGATACTCTCTTACCTTTGTGAGGATGGTCTTCCCATAGTTCTTGGTGCTGGTTAAGCCACTGTTCAGATAGATGTCTTTCTTTACAATTGGACTGTGATAAGCTACAGATGTGAGATAGAAACAAAACAAATTGACAAGTGTTTTTCTTGTTGGTTTTTTTTTGTTTTGTTTTTTTTCTTTATAGGAGGTGGGCAGGCAACTATTCTTTGTTTGACAAAATGAACAGCTTTGTTGTTCTCACAGGCTCACCAATGAGCCTCTTGCCAGTTTTCTCCAGTGGGAATTCTTTCAAGCACAGCACAAACAGCTCATGTATTGTCACAGAATTGTAGGGGTTGGAAGGGACCTCCAGAGATCATCCTGTCCAACCCCCCCACTGCAGCAAAGGAGGACAATACAAGAAATTTCCAAGACAACAGCATCTGCCATTTCAAGAACTGTGGCAAGATGTACCCACATAGAGTGGAACTTGGTCTAGCCAGGCCGCAATGGCTTTCACAAAGCTTCTTCACTCCAGATAGCCTTGTGACTCCCCCCCCCCCCACTTCTCTCTTTTTTCAGCTCCAGCCAAGAAAATGGCCATCAATTCTATCCAAAAGACAACCACTAGAGACCATACAAATAACATGTCATGCTCCATGAAAGCTAGAAGAGGATTAAAAAGAAACAACAAAAGTAGCTTTCAAGTCACAGTTGGAAAGAAAGAAAAGGAAGTCTTGCCTTTAGGACAAATGCCACCATGGCTGTTAGGTCTGGGAGAACCAACATAAGCCAGTCCAAGTGTTCCCATATCAAAATCTTGGTATGTGAAGAGATGAGCAAGGCACACATGAGCTGCTTTCTCAGCAATATCAAAGCTAAATTGCTTTGAAGAGAAAAAAAAAAAGTATATTCTCTGTAAAATGTTTCACTGTGCATACCAGAAATCTATAGATAACTTTTATCTAATAAGCCATGCACCTTCTAAATCTGGCAAAAGCAGATTAAGTCAGGCAAAAGCAGATGATTATCTGTCCTATAAATCTGAATAAACTTAAATGACTACCCACGTACATTGAACACATTCATTCATGTAACTTGCAGTTCATTTCCCCCTTTTCACATAGAGGGGAAGCCAACTGCACTAATTTTGTGAAGGTCAGAAGGCAATCAGTCTTAGAGGCAGGACTGCCCTTCTGACTCAAGTTACATATTAATCCCAGTTGGTGTGCACTCCATAGTTATACAAAGGAGCCCTTTGCCATGCCATGCACATGCCCCATGCTCTTGCTACAGGGCACGTTTGCTAGTTTGACTTAGTCTAACATCTATACATCACAGAAAGGAAGTGAAGGAGTCTCATCCACTACTGCAGAACAGCTGTGCAGGAGAATTCCTGCAAAAGGCACCATTATTTAAGGGTTACTACCTACCTCTAGCAGCATTTTCACATCCCAGGCATCCTTCTTGTCATCTGGGTAACTTTTTGCCATATTGTAATGCTTTTCTCCAGGTTCTACATGTTCTGGTTCACTGTGGATGATAATCTACATTTCAAAAAGGGCGACAACAATGTAGAAGAATTTTGGTCAATTTTATAACTACAGAAAAGTTTTCAGTGCAATCCTAAAGGTCTCAATAGATCTGCAAGAAGAAAAACTCAGATTCAGCATGCTCTCAGTGTTAAGCTTTCAGCTTCTGCTAGCTAAGATACACTGGCCAGATCACAAGGAATTACACCAGAAATTGCAGAGTAACATCAATGGTCTTCACCAGAATACTATGATTTAGGATGCACGTTAGATAAAAACCAAACCCCTAGCAAATACAGCTAGGACTCACATACAGAATTAATGGATGCTGAACATCACAGAATTATTGTTAACTAAGGCATACTTTAAAGGATTGTCGCTTTCCCAGTAGACTAGAGCAGTATGCTTTCCTCCTGCCCCTCAATTAGCTCTCATTCCTTGCTCCTAGAGAGGCAGCTAGCTCGTAGCATGGATGTCCCCATGTGCCACATGCCAGCTCTTGCACTACTCAAAGCAGATAGATTCCTCTTCTTTTTTAATGCCCTCTGCCAAATTCCTATGCTTTAACTCTGCACTACCTTGATATTATGTTTAACTGCAATCATAAAAGTCACTCAGGATTTGCGTTTCTTTCACGTGTTTGAGGCACACTCATGTTCTATTAGCTAAGCACTAGCCACCAATAGAAGTATGTGCATAATGGTATGTCTGATAAACAGGAACAGCCCCAACAGTCAGAAATCCTGACACCTAAAGAGTACTTACAGTTTAAACTGAAACCCTTTGCCCAGTTCAGTGAATACCAACCTGCTCTATCTGTATGCCATAACCTTTGAAGGCCCCATTGTCCCAGGAAGTATTTCGGTAGATGTCATCCACTCTGTCTATCAATTCAATCTATGCAGGAAAGAATAAAAACTCATGACAGTCCTAAGCTTTTGTGCACCAAAATTCAAGACATCCCAAGAAGCTGCAGCACTTATCTGGAAGCACTTCAAATTAAAATTGAACCTTTTAAACATAACAGACATATTCAGTGTTCCACAACCAACAGTGCATGGATCCAAAGAGTACTATCAAGTATCTCTGAAAACATTCCATCATGACAAAGCAGTACAAGCTCTCATTTATCACTTTCACTAGAGCAGTGGAAGAGGTAACATTAAAAACAAGACATCTTGGGAAATGTTTTGTTTGTATAGTGGTTTTCCAGGTTTCTCTGAGGGGAAAGGCAGAGGAGGAAGCTGTTTTTACTGCTTTGTTTCAGCACTGAACTCAACTGATCCCCGAGGCCTCCTTCCCTTTCACAGGCAGTGAACTACCATTTTTTTAATTATGATTCAAGCACGAGGTTTCAGAAAGTCTCTCTTCAGCACTCACAATTAATATCTCCCTTTTTGAATTGTTTTCACCTACTTAAAAATCACCTTCTGCTAGATACAGAGCATCAAACTTGCTCAGAACGAAGAATGACATTTACAGCCACTTAAAAACAACTTTCCATCTCTGTGTTGCTTACAGCACACATCTACCCAGGCAACACAAGAGTAGGTTCAGTCTTGAAGAATCGTATGTCAGATGCTGAGATAAACTCTGCAAATAGATGAACTAAGACTCAATAACCTGGAGAACGTAAACATTTCTGGGAACAGAGAGGTTGAAAAGACAGGAAAGACGGCACAGAGTGATCAGTACATCAAAGATTCAGACTCAGAAGGAGACTCATGAGAAACAACACATCATCACAAGTGGTTTCACTTCTTACTCTCTCATGTCCCAGAAGCCATACTCTCCACTCCTGCGGTAGGCAGGTGTTCTATTTCACAACTACACATGCAACCAAACTACTTGCTTACTGCTCTTATCTCAAAGTTTTGTTGTTCTGGACAGAGAATCTTGGATGAAGTTGAAAAACTATACAAGTTGTTTTTGCCTCCCGTGTGGACTTTAAACACGTTTGGACCATTTACACCGGAATTCAAAGTCCAAGAGAATCTACAACTCCAATCAAAAAACTGTTTTTCTTTATGAGAAAACAGCATAGCTACCAGTAGCATGCAAAGGGAAGGGATCTGAAAACTGAAGACTACTTAATTACAGTATCACCACTACAAAATATTTTTCATGCACGATTTAGCATTTCCCAGGTAAAAAGCACACAGGTGTGATGTACATATGCTGTAAAAGATCTGTATTAGCTCTATGTTGTTTAACTACTGAATCACTTTTTTCTTTTCTCCATTTGCTCCAACAAATTTGAACAGAGAACCTACCAAATAGTTTATAGTAGTGCTCTCTTCCCCGCGGCCCATGTACTTGAAAAACCGATGGTCTGCCACTACCAACATCTTGCACGTATCTTTGGAGCTGTCTGGAATGGCTCTTTTCTCCCGGTGGATGCTGGCTAATGGGCATTAAAAAAAATAAAAATAAACATTCAACAAGCTGTCTATGGCTGTGCCTAATGTCTTTATTTGAGACTTGAACAAGAGACGGGGTGGGATTTTTGGGTTGTCTGATTTTGGGTGGACGTGAGGACTCTGGAATTTGTCTTCATAACAGTCCTCAGACTTGCTGTAAGAAATGGAATGTACAGTAATGAAATAGAGCTGCTCAATACATTTACCTACAGAGTTTTTAACATCATCAGTCTCTGTCCTAACAACACTTCTTTCTGTCCCCAGTCATTAGCCCCATCCCTGCTGATGCAGTAGAAGATAGAGGAAAGTGAGACTCAAAGACTCATCACAGCTCAAGAGGCATTATTACAGCGGCCACAGACATCAAATGGGCCCTAGAGTGCACAAGTATAAGGTTGCTTTAGTGTTCACCTTAAAAAGCCTACGAACCTTGTTGTGAGCTGTCACAACAAACACTACCAAGGAGTGCTTCCTGTATTTCACTTACATTTGGATAGATCCAGTCATCCTTTTAGCAAGCACATACTGCTAAGGACAGCTTATTCTTTTCAGCATTATGGGTTTTGTTGTATGGGGGAGAGAGGGAAAGAGGGCATTAAAACAGGTACTGCTTTCCCTCCTGAACCTGTGACTTCAAAGAATTAAACCAGCAGCAACAGAGATTATTGCCCAGGTTGTGATCTCACTTGCTTACACAAATGGAATTCAAGTATTCATTTGGAAGGTCCTGCTCTCCCAGGGTATGGATCCTTACCTTCATTTTGCTTACTCTCTTCCAGTCCTTTAGGTAAAAGATCCTCTTCATTCAGCTTTAAATAACCACATACTTTGGGGGATTGCAGACGTGAGAAATCTTTAATATCTTCAGATCTGTAGACCAGCAATCTTTCATCTTGAACATTATCTATAAATCTCCACAGGGGCTGAGAGCACAAGAGCAGCAGAAACACAGATAGTTAGGAACACAGTTGGTGCAAAGACTTAAGTAGAATACATACATACACACACAGAGCCAAGTCTCCCCAGCTTTATGCGTACACATACACATGTACCTTGCTTTATAATAATTTCGTCCTTGGAAATAAGTCTCCCAACAAAACTACACTGCCAAGAAAGCCAATTGACTTTAACCCTTTATGATCCACATGCATCCAAAGATCTAAGATCATCTCAATAGAGCAGCAGCAGCCATCTGATAAAGCTATAGGAAAGGGAGTTCTAATTCCCCTCAGGAATAAAAGCAGCCTGAGGAGACGTCTCAAACTCCTCTGTTCCCTCCATTACTGACAAGCAGCTGGAAGAGGAGACAGCTAGAATATGCTAACTGCACTGACTAGAGGCACAAGGGTCTAAATCTTCCATACTAACAAAGGATATCCAAGTGCACACCAGAATACCATCAGAGACAGACTCTACAATATTCCTTAATCACTTATAAGTGAAAGTTCCTAAAAAATTTAAAAAAAACAACAAAATCTCAACATAAAAACAACCTAACTGCACAGCAGATGCATACTGCCACTTCCCTATTATTATCTGTAAGTACCATCTACAGCAACACCAACAAAAAAAAAACCAACACATGGGAGCAGTTCTTTGGGCAAGGCCAAGCAGCACAGACAGTCCAAAACCACCCTGCAGATCACTTGGCTCTGGGCTCCCTCTGGGCTTGAGGCAGCACTCTGAACTTGAGACAATTCTTATAAGCTGTGAAACTGAGGGCAAACACTCCGCATCCCAGGACAAGACAGGATGCACAAGGCATTTACATTAAGATTCCAAACCTTTCCCAGCAGTGAGGACCATGGAAGTAAAGAAAGCAACATTGGGACAGCTCTGTCAGTACTGCCTTTTGGGAATGGTCTTTGGCACCTACCAACTCTGACCACATGCAGGCACGATCTCAGGGTAGTGAGAGGCAAAGCTGACATGGGGATGTGTGGACAAGCTGTAGTCTCCACATGACTACTGCCTGAGAAATTGAGACATGCTTATGTTATTCTTGGGCCACAAACACTAAAAATGCTTTCTGTCATGATCAAACAGCTACTGTTTGCCCTTGATGTAAAGCACAAGGAGAATGGTTCGTGTATTCTAATCACATTTTTATACTTTAATAGGACCAGATTTCTCAAACTTACCTATAATTCTGATTATCCTTGGGTTAGGAGACAATTACAATATCCATACAACACTTAGCCATAATTACTGTTATTCATCCACTTTAACACAGCCTGTGTCTGGGAATACACTGCTTTGAACAAGTAATTAGGGTAGCCTTTAATTATACATTTGCTGATCTTTTATTTTAAATGAGTAGTTTAAAATAACACAATAAAAATGGTGAAAAACAGGAAGAAGGGAGCAGGGAAAAAGCAGATTTTTAAACAAAGCCCAGAGAGTGGGAAAAATTTCAAGACATAGCAAAGGCACAATTTTGGAAAGCTCACTAAGCCTCAACTCTGCTCAGAAGGCTGTGCTGCTTGTTCTTCTCTAGGACATGATCACAACTAATTACCAATGCTATCCACTTCGGTTTCTAAAATCTCTTCCTGTTTAAGATCTATCTTCTCTCTGATGGATCTAAAAGATGCAAATGCCACAGAATGGCAATCACTAATAAAATTCCATTTTTTCTGAAGTGAAAATGGTTTTCCATTTTAATTCCACCTTCCTACTAACTCTAAAACGAATGCCACCACCACCACCAAGTCTATTTTGAGCTACAAAACTGTCACTGTGACTGGCTAGAAACAGAAACACCCACAGGAAAAAGAGATTTTTTGACTATTCCCCGTAACAGTAAGGCATACCTCTATATTATATTCTTCTCCATCAGTATTGATTCTTACAGTAAAGTCTTCATCCCCAATGTGTGCCACAACCTTGGAATTATGCTCCCCTTTGACACAGAGATTAAAAAAAAGTCAGCTCCACGTGCATGCATTCTTACAAAAACACTGATTCTACAAACACACTGATTTATTTTTTTAATTATTTTTTAAACTTCAAGTCAGATGAACTTCCTCAGCCTCTGGAGAACATTCTAAAAAGAGAAAAAAAAAGACATGAGCCAGCGCTCCTTCCTCCATCTTAACTTCTCAATGATCACAGGCATTAAGGCTTGGCTTTAACTGATAATTTCTGGGTGCTGTTGAGAAGGCCTTGGGGATTGGTTAAAAGACCATGGATAATTCTGGCAACAAAACCTGGATCTCACCATCAGCCAGCAATATCACAGCATCAGTGTGCATTCCAGTGGAAGAAATCCACCCCATCACAAAAACAACATAAAAAATCAAACAACTTAGCAGAAGTGTTAGTGTTAGACTAAAGAGGGGCGAAACGCCCCCTGTTTCCAGAACAGCAGCCTCCTAAGAATCACATTAAAGTAGTTTAATGTAACAACATGGGCAACACTGCATCATCACTACCTGGGATTTGCTTTCTGTGACAAAAATACTGAAATCCCACATTCTCCATTATCATCTTAAAAAATAAACAAAGAAAATCACAAGCTGCTACCTGTGCAAACTTATATTCACGTGCTGCCAAGCTCAATGGAAGTCCAAAATCAGAAGCTTGGTACAACAGCTTAAAAAATAAACAAAAACAAACAAAAAAACCCAAACCACCAGAAAACCTGAAGGGCAGAAGAATCAAGTTTGCATATTCAACCTATCCATATTTGATTAAAATGAGTGTAACATAGCATTTACTGTGGCCAAGTGACTCAGCACAGCTGTGCTTTCTCAGCACTGACACAGACTGGTCCATACTAACCAACAACATGTCCAGTGAAAAAGTCTTGCCATTGAACATGATACTCCTTTTCCTTGCCTTCACCATCCACAATTAATGCTTGAAATTTTTCTGAAAAGTGTTCAGCAGTTGCAGTTAGGTATAATTTAAAGTGCCTGTAAAAGAATTTACTTCCATTTATTTTTAAGCAAAAGACAAACACAAAAGTTTTCATTTTTCTGAAGGTCCAAAAGAAGTTAAAAGCATTAACTCTGATGAGCAAAGTATAGAAGCATATACTATGTAATTCAGAACTGTAAATCATCAGTACATCTACAGAGCATTTTTAAGTGCTCAAGATGTTCAATTTTAAACAAAAAAAGAAACAAAAAAAAAAAACCACAAGAGTCAAGGATTGCTCATGATTCACCTCCTCTATACGCATTCAAGCAAAACCTGACACTGCTAACATATTTAACCAAAGGAAAAGCTGGTAAGGGGATTTGTTCATCTATTTTAAGTTAAATTTTCTCAAAGCTCGCTTACTTTTCTTTTAATCTCTTCTTCCCCTTTCACCAGTGCTTATAATTCACATCTGGTGAAAAGTAGTTTTCTTGAATGCAGAGTTTACGTGTGGTAGGAACAAGATTAAATCACTGCAAAAGAAAAACCTCTTGGGCAACAAAACACACTTTTCCCAAACTGAAGGTACAGATTCTCAGTAACCAAAGGACAATCAAGTTAGACAGTGTTACCAAGATGAGGTAAAAGTGGTAAAATCCAACCCCATCTGTGACAGCAGTCTACCTGAAACTATACCTAAGAACAAAGCAAAAGCAAGCACAGATCGCTGCCATTTCAACAGCCAGAATCCTGGCATAATTTTGTTTCCTCTGAGTCTCTCCGAAGCCATTCGCACAGCCATGCAGACCAGTAACTTAAAAGAATGGGCCAGTCATGATAGAAACCACAGTGATTATTTCTGAGTTTGGAACTGTGTGTTATTCATCATAAACTGAAAGACAAAAAGACAATATTATTTCATTGCTGATTATTTAATTACCTTTGCAGGGCTGAGAAACTTAAAAGCCTCTCTACATGAGTCTCAGGCTGGAGGTCTCTCTTCTTCAGTGAGTGCTGCTGGATACTGGACTGAGAAAGGATGTCATAATCTGAGAGCATGGATTCAACTGCATCTGGAAGAGAAACAGAAAGTTTGATAGCTTCAATAGGCTATTTCACAAATGCAGACATCAAACAGCAAACCAGGGCCTGCTATAGCAACATCACAGTTTGCTCTAATGTTAGGATAACTGTTGTACATTTCTGCAAAAGTACATTTTGTGCAGCCAAGTAGAAATCATAGCATGAAACAAAAGATGTGATCAGAGAGAAACAGAACTTAATTGACTTCTGAGAGAACTCTTAGAGCAACTAGGCCATCACTTTTACTGCTATGGCTGTGCAGAGCTCATGCCCTCCTGGAAAGCAAGCAGGAAAGAACACTCCCCACTGCTCTGGGATGAATAGCTTCTCATCTTCACCTGCTGTTCCCCATTCCATCCAAAGCAAAACATGATTTAAACCGAGGAAACTTCTACCAAATTCACAGCAGGTCAGGACTGCAGTTATTACCTCTTTATTCAACAGCAGCCAGAAAATAGATGGCTACATAGCTTCGTCCATCAGAAATAACAAGCCAGGCACCTCACACGAGGTATCCCCTCGTTCCCCAGTCACTTATCATCGAACAGAACTCTGACTTCCCTTCTCCAAACAAGAAAACTTCTTCAGAAGGAGACAAAGGGCATGAAAACCATGCACAAATTACAAATTCAAGCCAATATTCAGCAGATGCTTGCAAATTTAACAAGTACACAAGCACCTCTGGCAAACAGCATTCACTCCAGCCAATAAGCCCTCCTGCACTCCTTTGCCAGACACAACAATTTGCACTTCTTCTTTCTGGAGCACTTTCTTTCTTTCTGAGATGTTTGCCTTTGCTTCCACAGGTGATAACAGATTCCTTGCTATTTGCAGGTTTCCACAGAGGCTCCTGCTTCCAGTTCACCATTTTCCTACCCTGTTCCAAATGAGGAGTCAGCCACTGGCTTACAGGAGGCAGAAGGATTTCTATTCTTCCTCTGTTTTTAAAAATCTCCCTTTTTCTCCAAGTCCAGTTGTGCTTTAACGCATAAGAATTTCCAGTACTTAAAAGGGAGTTCATAAACAGGAGGGAGTCTGACTTTTTACGTGTTCTGACAGTGATAGGACAAGGGGCAATGGTTTAAAACTAAAAGGGTGGGGCAGGGAACTGAGACTGAGTGGGCTTTGAAGTCCCTTCCAATCTGAGCCATTCTGTGATTCCATCACACCCCTCTCAGTTCCTCACCAGGCCACGCTACCAAAGCACCCCAAAGGACCCCAGAGCCTGCTGACAGATGGCCAATCTGTCCTCATACTCTCCCACCAGAAGCCACCAGACCGCAGCTCCTGGGCTGCTCCTTAGCACGTGGCCCCTCCCTGCCATTTGGCAACACAGGAAAGGCAGTGCAAATGCAATTCCCTGATTTCTGTTTACAACACACAGGTCGAAAGCACCTGCAATCGATTACCAAGCATTTTGGGTTATATGCAAAAGCAAATTTCCACCACCTTCCTTTGTGGGATGTTGTAACTGATTGCTTATGGCACAGCACCTTCTCGCAAGCGGCTGCACCTAGCAGGAGGAAACAAGATAAGAGAAACTCTAGTCTTAAACTCTTCTTAATTAAACCTGAGGCGCAGTGGCACTGCGCTGTGCTGCTCGGGGCCTTGCACATTAACTTCTGACCACGGTCTGCCCAAAGGGCACGGCCCCAGCTGCACAACACAACCAGCCCTGCTGCCTTCTGCTCCTACTTGCAGAGCACTGCCCCAAAACCAGAGGAAAGCCACGGCTAAGAGCAAGATGCAGTCGCCTCCATGGCCAGTCAGAACGACCTGCGTCTCGATTTTGTGACCTGCAGAGCCTGCTAGAGAAATTACGGTTTTGTTGAGTAGGCAGAGAACTTCAGAAGTCCCACTCCAGTCCCGCTCCACTTAGCAAGGGTGAGTACAGAACACAGAGCCATGCGATGAGTAACATGTTCTGCTAGAGTAACAGCTGAAACGGGGCACTCCTACTTCCTGGGACACCAAAACAAGAATGCACTTGTTAACATTTCCTTCTTCCTAAATGTTTGCTTTCATTTTACTCGCAACATGTAATTAACTCCTAAGACATGCTGCTGCTAGACATAAATCAGTCAGCTAATTCAGGTATCAGACAGATGTGGAAATCGATAGATTCATAGCACACAAATCCCAGTTTTTCTGTTAAGATTTTCATACTGTGAAAACCAATTCACGCTCATGATTTATTAAACATAACAGATGAAGTGTCATTCTAAACGAAACACAGAGGTGTACAGAGCCCATCCGTAGGCAGCCTGTGGACAGAAGCCATCACGACCCCAGAGCTCACTATTTTTTATTTGAGTTTAATGATCCAACTGGCATTCCTGCTCCATTATCTCCACTGTGGTCCAAGAGTCACTCCCTGTGGGCTTCAGTGCACTGAGCTGACTCAGGTTTTCCTAAACCACATTCTCGTGGTTCTTTTCCTTCCATCCCCTCCTAGATTTCTGCATTCTTCTCTTTTTGGAGAGGGACGCCTTACCTCCAGCATTAAACTCTAACATTTACATCTTCATTTTCATTACCTTATGATAGCCAGCCTTCATCCCACGCACCTTCCCTGCCAGGGGAACCCCTAAAACACTGAAAGCACTCAGGTTTGCAAAAGAAACAGTGAAAGAACATCGGTGACAGAGACGACAATCCAAAATCAAAGCAAACCCACAGCAGTGACTTGTCTCCTCCTCACAACTTGTGGTTCTTCCTTTTCCTTCACCCCATTTCAAGGCTAAGTTTACTGCCCCAAAACTACCCCTTAATACAGGAAAGTCTCTTCCAAGCAAACGATGGGCTAATGGGCATTGTACCAGACTACTCCATCAGCAAAGAGCTCAAGAATGTGCTGGCCAACACTTCAGTGGAATTGGAAGCCACTGCCTATTTTTTTCAAATAAGATGTTTCTCTTCTAGTATTCTGCTTCCAATTCAAATACCAATGGCATCTTTCTCCAACCACCCTGGCTTTCATAAGCAGAACAGTGAATTCCCATGATCTCATGCTCAATCTATTGCCCTGAAAGCAACAAGTAAATGAGGCAAGTCAGCCATTTCATAAGCATTCTTTTGAATTACATTATTTATGCAGAGGTTAAGCTTATCTAAAGACACAAATTTTGAAACTGGAAGACATAATTAATATCTTAAAAAATTCTCTTGATAGTTATCTGATTACAGAAAATGTCTCTAGTTGAAATAAGAGATCCAGCAGCATTTAAAAATTTTACCTCCAGGAATTAAAAGTGACCAAAGGAGCTGCAGAGGAGTTTGCAGGAATAATTACAGTTATTATTCCTCCAACCATCCAACAAGAAATAAAAGCAGAAATAAATCTGATGTGAAGGGGCAGTGGGGCGGGATGACAAGCCTGGAGACAGCAGTCTGGGAGCAAGCACAACAAGCACTTGGCTGTGTGACTGTTAAACCACCTGGATCTCCTAACCTGGAAAAAAAGAAAAGGGCTCTTGTCCATGTTTTGTGTGGCACTCAGTGCCACCTGGGTCCTGAGCTCTAGCTGATTGCCAGCCAGCACCAAACACTCCCAGAAGCCGGTGAGCAGCTCACCAACAACTCTTCTGATTCAGCTGGACAATGATTCAATGGCTGAAGGGCTCCATATTCCTCATTAGGCCATCCGATGCTATTCTTCACACATCAAAACACATGAATTCAAGTGAGTAGAGACACTTCAGATGTAACTCACAGTCCTAAGCTAGACCAGAAAATACAATCCCAAGTCTTTCCAACCTTAGAAGAGGTAAACAAAGTCTGCAGCACCCCACCTAGAACAGTCGCTCTTGGGCTTGCAGCAATGTCCAGTCAGACTTTTTACACAGGCAGATAGCAGTAAGACAAGGGGAAATGGTTTTAAACTAGAAGAGGGGAGACTGATGTTAGAGATCTGATTTATCCCAGGTATTTCTACAAACTGGGGAAAGAGCTCCTTGAGAGCGGCCTGCAGAGAAGGGTTCTGGTGGACAAGAAGCTGGACATGAGCCAGCAGTGTGCGCTTACAGCCCAGAAGGCCAACTGTGTTCTGGGCTGCATTAAAGGGGCGGCCAACAGGGAGAGGGAGGTGATTGTACCCCTCTACTCCCCATCTGGCGTACTGTGAGGCCCCATCTGGCGTACTGCGTCCGGCCTGGAGCCCCCAGCACAGGAATCATGGAATCACAGAATCACCAAGGTTGGAAAAGACCTAAAAGATCACCCAGTCCAACCGTTCACCTATTCCCAATAGCTCCTACTAAACCATGTCCCTCAACACAACATCCAGCCTTTCCTTGAACACCCCCAGGGTCGGTGATTCCACCACCTCCCTGGGCAGTCCATTCCAGTGCCTGACCACCCTTTCTGAAAAGTAATACTTCCTCATGTCCAGCCTGAATCTCCCCTGCCGTAGCTTGAAGCCATTCCCCTTGGTCCTATCACTAATGACACGAGAGAAGAGGCCGACCCCCAGCTCACTAACAACCTCCCTTCAGGAAGTTATAGAGAGCAATGATGTCTCCCCTGAGCCTCCTCTTCTCCAGGCTGAACATTCCCAGCTCCTTCAGCCTCTCCTCATATGGCCTGTGTTCCAGACCCCTCACCAGCTTTGTTGCCCTCCTTTGAACACGTTCCAGGGCCTCAATGTCTTTCTTGCAGTGAGGGGCCCAAAACTGGACACAGTACTCAAGGAAGGACATGGAGCTGTTGGAGCAGGTCCAGAGGAGGGCCACTAAGACGATCAGAGGGCTGGAGCACCTCTCCTATGGGGAAAGGTTGAGGGAACTGGGCTTGTTTAGCTTGGAGAAGAGAAGGCTCTGGGGAGACCTCATTGTGGCCTTCCAGTACTTGAAGGGAGCATATAAACAGGAGGGGGAACGGCTGTTTACGAGGGTAGGTTGCGATAGGACAAGGGGGAACGGTTTTAAACTGAGACAGGGGAGGTTTAGGTCAGATATTGGGAGGAAGTTTTTCACACAGAGGGTGGTGACAC